ACGGTGCTGGCCTCGGCCCCTCCCACGCCGCTACCTCATCAGGCGCACTTCCGTCCCCTCCGAGGAGGCTCGCTGCCTGGCCGTCACGTGACGTGGGCCCTGCCAATGGCGTCCCCATCTCGGGGTACAGGTCCCCCGCCTAGCCTTTTGGGAAACGTGGAGGACCAAGAGGTGGAGTGGGAGCGCCCCGCTGACGTCAGCTTTTGTGGGCTGAGTTTCCGGTTGGGTGTGGGTTAGGGGCGCTGGCCTTTGCGATGTGTAGGTGGACCGTGATGCCTGGTGGCAAGTTCATGTCTTTCCACCCAGATTTTGTGCATATTGAAAACTCTGCCTGTCATTTTCAGGAGACAAAAGCAGGTGGATCTGAGTTCAAGGCTAGCCTAATCTACAGAGTGAGTTCCAGGACAGCCAAGGCTATGCTGTCTTGAAAAGCCAAAACAGTAATAATAATGATTGAAGGAACAAAAATTAATGAAATTTATAAACTTGGACCCTGAAAAGGGAACTTCTAATGACTGGGAATGCTGTGGCTGGCACCTGAGCCCAACTCTCAAAGAAGGGGAGGTGACTGTCCACCACTAGTGTCAACATTCCTATGTCTGCTAATTGCTGGTTGTAAGGTTGTGAAGATCCCTCTGCCCAGGGGATAACTGACAGACCTTGTGACTCTGTAACCCTGCAACCCTGTGCCCTGTGTTATCCTACTCAAATGTATCTTGTTTAAAATATATAGTTACTGTTTTACTATGTACTTTGTATAACCTTAAGTAACTATCTGAAATTTGGCCTTCAATCTTAATGGTCTTCTCCTTTAAAAGCTCTTTTTCACTGGTTAGCATCTCATTTCCCCACCATGGAGTGAGATCAGCCTGGCCAGCTTGAACAATAAAAAGAAACCTTTGCTTTTACATCAGCGGTGTTGGCTCCTTGGGTTGGTCTGGGGCTCCAAGAACCTGGCACAACAATGATAAATAAACCAAAAAACGGTACCTTAACCAAAACAACAAGAAAACGGCCTTTATTGTCAGTTTCTGTGATGGGCGTGGGCCATTTCTGTTTGGAATCAGAAATAAGAGTTAGGAGGCCACTCTCTTTTGGGCCTCTGTTAATCTGTAAGAGGCTCTTTGTAGATGGACAAACACTAACCCTTGAAATCTATGACACTGGATGCATCAGGGCTTCCCTCAGTCTTACACACCAAATCCACTTCTACTTTCCAGCAGCAGGCTGGCCTCAACCTAAGGCACTCCTGCTTCAGTCTCTTGAATACTGACTGGGATTACAGCACGCACCACCACACTTGGCTTCTGATGATTCTCAGAGTGGATTTTTGTTTCTTTATGTCCGTCATAAAGACGGACTCAGACAACTCTTCTAGTGATAGGCTTCCCTGTTTCTTCAGGTTATATGATGAAAAACATGGGTATGAGTTAGACTTGCCTAGATTGGGCCACAACAGAGGGTCGTTTGTCAATTTACTAAGATTTCTCCTGTGACAAGGTCCCTCTATGTAGTTCTGGCTGTCCAGGAATTCGATATAGACCAGACTGGCCTCAAAACTCAAAGAGATCTCCCTGCCTCTGCCTCCTGTAAGACTCCCCCTCCCCCCCAAAGCTCAGGCCTCCGGGATCTCAGCCCAGGACCTCGGTCACCCCAATCACCAGGCAGATTCGACCTGGCTTTGTGCTCCATGTGTCTTTCATTCTAGAACATTTTAGAAAAAAGCCAAGAGGCAGTGGTGGTGCACGCTGCTGTTCATTTCAATCTTTGGACCTACAATACAGAAATTTCAAATTAGGTGAAAATGCTAATAAAGACTTTCTATTGGCTTAAACCCATGTCCAAGCAGTCTTCTCTGGTGACTACCACATAACAATTTCTCTATGCAGCCGCTTTGAGCTGTCTTTTCTAGCCATCCGCCATGGCAGGTGGATGAAAGACCCGAGCTAACATGGGGTTAGCTTGTTAAACAATAAAGCCTCATGCAGTTCGCATCAAGCTTTCGAATCTGCCTGGTGATTGGGGTGACCGAGGTCCTGGGCTAAGATCCCAGAGGCCTGAGCTTTGGGGGGGGGGGGAGTCTTACAGGAGGCAGAGGCAGGGAGATCTCTGAGTTTTGAGGCCAGTCTGGTCTACATATCGAATTCCTGGACAGCCAGAACTACATAGAGGGACCTTGTCTCAAAAAAGGGTGGGGTTTAATAAATTTGGAATTTATTTAAAATTAAAAGTCTCTCTCTCTCTCTCTCTCTCTCTCTCTCTCTCTCTCTCATCTGGTGACCAAGGTAAAGGTCCCCTTTGGCATATCTAATTAGCATGACCAATAAAAACAAACCAACTTATCCTAACCCAGGAGGGGGGTCCCCTTTCCCTTTGTAAACCACCATTTGCCTAAGGGCTAGATTCCACCCCCAGCCCTTTGTCAGCCCATCAGTCCGTGTTGTTCTTCCCCCTCCCCGACAAACATCCCTACGACAACTTCCTTGTTTCTTTCCCCTTCCTCATCTTCTATCATCTGTCTTTGTCTTTTATTCTCTTCCCTCTGGGGCAAAGAAATCGAAATCCCCTTGGTGCTGACAACTTGGTCTTGCTTGGGGTGTCCTTATCGGATACAGGGCCTTACAACATGAAAAAGAAAATGTGTGTGTGTGTGTGTGTGTGTGTGTGTGTGTGTGTGTGTGTGATGATGATGATGATGATGATTCATGGAGTTGGCTCTCCGTTTCTACCGTGTATGGACAGGGAAGCAAAATTAGTCAAGTTTAGCAACAAACCTCCTCACTCGTTGAGCCATTCTCCGGCCCAAAGTTGTAAAAATGTTCTCAAGATTCATGATACACAACGCCGCTTAAATGCTTCACAATTAATTCTTGCAGTTTGCTTAACAAAAATGAGTTCACAATCAAAGCACGATCTTTAAAAACACTCATAGATTAACGTAGATTGTTGGTCTCTTTTCCAGTAACACCTTGTCTGGAAGGCACCGTGCTTGGGCGTGGCTCTATGAAAGGTACCAAAGACCTTCAGGACTAGGGAGAATAACCTTTGAACCTCTCTAGAGCAGCGCTTCTCAAGCCTTCCTAGTGTTGTGACCCCCACCGTAAAATCATTTCATTGCTACTCCCTAACTGTAATTTTGCTGTTAAGAATTATAATGGAAATATGGCACCCCTGGATCCACCCAAGGGATCTCGGTCCGCAAACTGAGAAACGCTGCTCTGGATTGTGAGTTCTGCCAGGAGAACCCGGGAACTCAGCTGCGAGCCCCGCCTCCTCCTCACCACGGCCGTTTCCTTTGTGGGAAAGGAGAAGTGATGCCGTAAACAACACAGCGGCCAGGGACGGCATGCGACAGGATGGGGCAGTGACCAGGAGCAGGATGGCTAAGGCGTGGAAACGGTCAAGACAAAACAAAAGCAGAAAAATAAAAACCCTGCGCCTCACTGCTGGCAGAAACACACGAATGCGCACGCGCGCTCATTTCCCTCGCTTTCCTCTCCGGCGCGGCGCCGGGCCTTTGCACTTTGGGTCCGGCCCCTGGCGGTCCGCTCCGTACCGTGCGGGAACCTCCGGTCGCCCTGGGCCTGTGCACTCCCCGGTACTGTCTTCCGGTCGCGTGGTGGGGGGTCAGACGCCAGGGGCAGTAGCTGCATCCTGAGAGGCTGAAGGGGCGAGCAACCACCTTTCACCTCCTGGGTTGCGCGTACCCCGAAGGCCGGCGTTGCGGCTCCGCCTCTTCTAGCACCCCGAGTGTCTCAGCGGCCGCGCGGTCTAAGAGCTACCCACGCTCTAACGCGTGTCCCCTTTCCTTCCCTGCCAGCTCTGCACCATGCCTGGGGGCGTGCCCTGGTCCGCCTACTTGAAAATGCTCTCCTCCAGCCTCCTGGCCATGTGCGCCGGGGCCCAGGTGGTGCACTGGTACTACCGGCCTGACCTGGTGAGTGCTGTGGGGCTCGTGCCCTTCCCCGGACCCACGCCCCACATTCTATCTGTCCGTTTGCTCAGTCTCTCTTGGCGTTTAGATCGTTCACAGTGTTTGGATAAACAGTGCTGTAGCAGCTCACTGTCAACACTTAAGACTGTCTCTCTTTAAGAGTTATAGTGAGCCAGCCTGGTCTACAGAGCAAGTTCCAGGACAGCTGGTGGCACACAGAGAAACCCTGTCCCGGGGCGCCCGGGCGGGGGAGATAGTGAAGGGTCACGAAACCTAGTGGAGACAGCAAGTGGCAAGAACCTCCCACGAAAATGCAGTTTTGTGTCTTATCTTCTGCTGGGATAGTTACCAACACCTCTTTACCAAGGAAGTGGTGCCCAGAATTTAACCCAGTGAGGTTGACCTGATTTATCTCATTACTATTGGAGGTGTACAAGGGTTTTTACAAGCAGCTACCTGTACTCTGAGAGAAAGTAACACAAAAACCAGTCCCATCTCAGTCTAGTTGGGTGGTAACGTTGGCAGTATAGCATCTTTACTGATAGCCTTACAGGCCGAGGTGGCTGGCTGCTTTAGGATACTGTATGTTTTTAGAATATTTAAGGAAAATTTTAAAAGATTTATTAAGCGTACAGTGTTCTGCCTGCATGTATGCCTGCAGGCCAGAAGAGGGCACCAGATCTCATTATAGGTGGCTGTGAGCCACCATGTGGTTTCTGGGAATTGATTTCAGGACTTCTGGAAGAGCAGTCAGTGCTCTTAACCTCTGAGCAATCTTTCCAGCCCGTATTTAAGGAATTTATGTCTTTTGCCTACCCAGTCTTTTGGAATCATTCCAGCCACCATTGCTACAACACCTAAAAAGTTTAGGGGGAGAGCAGAGGAGAGACTATGATGGCTGCCCAGGGTTGGCACTCAGTGTTGACTTTGGGGGCAACTGTTAAGGATGCTTTGTTTCAGTTGTCCATCATGAGTCATGAGGACAGCAGAAGTGACAGCTGTACTCCTTTAGTTATTTAGACTGACACCCAGGAGTCACCCTAATTCTCTCACTGCATGCCTCAACAAATCCCATTGGGTGAACCTGAAAGATACGTCCACCTCCTGCCTACCCTGTTCAGGCCAGCATCCATTATCTCCTTCGCAGTTAAGATAGCTTTTGAAAGGTTCAGACATTATGCTGGCCTGCCTGTGTTACCTGGTGGAATCCACTTAGGCAGTACCCTGGTCAGCCCAGGGTTCCATGGGAACTAAGTCTGCACGCAAAGGACCCCTTTAAAAGACAGACCCCTGCCCATTTACGCTCTTCTCTTCTCTTCTCTTCTCTTTTCTCCCACCTACACTCTCCCTGCCCTCCTTCTCTTCTTTCTGCCTCTTCTCTTACACTCTCTCTGCCTCTCTATGGTGACCGGCCGTGGCAGTCAGCCATTAACCCTGTTCTTCTTCTTAGTCTCTCTACTCTGCCGGGCCTATAATAAACTGGTTAATATGTCTCTTAGTCTCATGTCTCATCTTGGGCACCTCTTCTTTATTTCTAATTTAAGCAAAAGAATAACAGCTTTCTGACCATCAGAAGATGGTCCACTTGCTTTTCCTGGTCTCTTCTCAACAGAGCTCTCATCACTATCTTTTTGTCCTTGAATCAGGTCATGTTGTCCTCAAAACGCCCCCAAAGTGAAGGCCAGTGCAATCTCCATGTCCCTTCCACTTCCCATCAACATCAACTAGCCTTCCAACTTCTTGAATGCTACATCAGATGTCACGATGCTTTTCCTTGAACATGAAGGCACAGTCATGCCTCAGGTCCTCTGCCCTTGTGATCCCATCAACCTGAAACACTCCTAGATGCCTGCAAGATTGTTTCATCATCCTCCTTTGTACCTGTGTTCAGACATCATTGCAACCAATAAGCCTGTGAAAAGTTATCATTAACACTAAGAAATGCAATCAGAACCACTGATTAGATGGCCATAATAAAACAATTGGTATGGGAGGGGGATTAATATGTAAAATGATTGTTTCTAAATGAAAAAAATAAAACAACAACTTCAAAGATAGGGAGAAATTTGAACCCTCATGTATCTGGGGCATATAAAATCATGCAGCTGCTTTGAAACCCAGTCTGGCTGGCAGTTCCTCAGTGTATGTTCCAGCAATTCTCATTCTAGGTTTCTCCCAACAAACACCAAGATGTAAGTCATCATATTAATTTGTTTGATCTTGTACATGTTCATAGGTAGGAACAATGCAGATGTCTGATGAGTATAAAACATGGTTCATCTACATAGGGGAATGTCATTCAGTGACCCTACATGGATGAAACCTGAAAACATGCAAAATGAAAGGATTGAGTCACAAAAGACTACATGATATATGGTGGGCAAATATATGTGGACAAAAGTGGCTTGTGGGGGAAAGCATATGGGAAGAGAGTTTTTTGGGGGGCAGTGAAAAGATTAAAATTTTATTGTGATAGACTCGTAGCTTTGATCATACTGTACCGAAAACCATTGTTTTTTTTTTTTTTCTTTTTCTTTTGTGGTGCTGGGATTCAAACTTGAGACATACACATGCTGCACCCCATGCATTTCTTTCTGCTTTCCTCAAAAGCAGAATCGTGCATGCTTTGTTCATCTATTTATGCATTTTACATGATGGCTACTTCATATGTTTTAAATATGATAATTACCATTTGTTATTTTCTGGCCCTGGTGCATGGTAGAGAGCCAGTAGGTAGTGCAGGAATGAATTCCCAGATGGTGAAATTCTCATTTGAAATTGAGTTAATTGGGTTTACCCCTGTGAATACTGAAGGACTTAAGACATTCTCAGATGATTTAATCATAAATATACAGGGGTCCTTATAGTGGTCTGTTGTTAAATAGCATGCACAGGGCTTCTTGTTCTTTCTCAAGCTTTTCAGATCACATTCAACTGTTGTCTTAATGTGGTAGCAACTGTTTTATGGCTCTTGTTTTTATTTTTGTAGACAATACCTGAAATTCCCCCAAAGCCTGGAGAACTCAGAACGGAGCTTTTGGGACTGAAAGAGAAACACCACAAACCTCAGGTTTCACAGCAGTAGAAACTTCAAGATGCAACTCTGCCAGGAATGCTGAGATTATTTTACATACATATTTTTAAATGTATTTAAATTTAAACTACTTCTTAAACATCTAATCTGAAAACAAATGCTGGTTGACCGGAACTGATAAAGTTGAACTTAAAGTATTAAGAGTCAGTCAGTATTTTCTAGTCTCACTATGCATTCTTGGCTCACCTGGAACTCACTCTGTAGGTCAGGCTGGCCTCCAGATGACAGGGATCCACAGGCCACTGCAACAAGGTTTCTGTGTAGCCTATGCTGATCCACTTCCGGAATGGTAGAATTGCAGGTATCTATGACCACACTTAACTGCAGAAGCCTCAGCTTTTACATTTGATTGGGAAGATGTTTCTCTTCAGTATCACAAGAGTTAAGAGTATTTACAATGTCTCTTGCCACTATGATTCTTAATTCTCGGAATGAGCTTCATGATAAAGGCAAGTTATAAATTACATACAATAAAAGTCAGTGATAATGCTTATAGGGTCTAAACATTGAAAAGTAATGTTTGTACTAAACTATAAAATATTTCTAGTTCTTTGGAGTTGTATGCCTAATGGAATTGCAACATTAGTGACTTAGCTTGTCAAGGTGCTTTAATCCCCCAAATTTGAGAAAGCAAATTAAAGTCATTTTCTTTATACATGTAAGAATGTGATAAAATCTTAAATGAATGTGCTAAATTAAATTGTGTCACTAAAAAAATGTTGACCTCAATCCTCAAGAGCCTGTGAATGTGACTGTAGGATATGTCTTAATGTCATGAAGAAATGCAGGGAGGACATTGTGAAGACAGAGGCAGGGACTGGAGTGTTGAACTGCAAGACAAGAACACCAAGTGTCTTAGGCCTCCAACCAAAGCCCACAAGAGGAAAGAACAAGACTCTGCTCATCATACTGGACTACACATTTGGTCCTTCAGAACTGTGGTAACACATTTCTTGCCACGTAGTTTCCTACATCAGCTGTAGGAAATGAACTTGTTTCAAGATTTTGCTCAATCTATAAATATAGAACAAAAGTAATTTATACAATTGACTTTTTAAAAAGATTTTTATGCATGAATGCATTGCCTGCATGTTTGTCTGTGCACCACGTACATGCAGAATTCCCTGAGAACCAGGAGAGGGCATCAGATACTCTGGACTGCAGCTACAAATGGTTGTGAGGCCGCTTGAATGAGGACTGAACCTGGGTCCTCTGAAGAGTAGTAGTCAGTACTACTTAACCATTGAACCATCTTTCCAGCCCCTAGGTTAATTTTACACAAATTGCATGTGTGGACATGTGTGCAATATACAAGGAAGGCAGGTAGGCCCCTGGAATGTGGGTTTTCAGCCACCAGGTGGGTTCTGTGGCAACAAATTGTCTGCAGTCCTTTCTCTAGTCCTAGCCGAATGAAGTCTTTGTAAGCCTGCCCTAAGGAGTAGACTAGGGCTCTGAAGCTGAGTTTTTTGAGACAGGGTCTCACTAGTAACCTTGTCTGGTCTTAGAACCTACTAAGTAGATTCAGATGACCTTGAATTCAAGATCTGCCTGCCTTGCTTCCATGTATACTAGGTACACATGCAAAGCAAAATACACATTTAAAAAATTCCGACAGGGTCTATTTAGTCCTGGCACTGGCTATGTCTTGCTGGCCTTGAACTCCTGTCTCAAGTGTACTACCTTGCTCAGCTAACATCAAATTACCATGGTATGCATACCTTTAATCCTAGCACTCAGGAGGCAAGCAGAGTTCTAGGCCAGCTGGAATTACATGGCTTGTAAGAGCATGCCTCAAAACAAAAAACATAGGCAAGTTACTTACACCGTGGACTTCACTATATTTTACCTTTTGGTATCCACTTGATGCCCACTACCCATCTAATAGCCTTTCCCAGTTTCCAGCCAACTTCCTCTAACCTGTGAGGACTTCTCAATTTTAAGTTTCTCATGACCTTTACACTTCCTGCCTGTATGCTGGAAGGTTGTCACAAAGTCTAGCCCACGTTCAAAAAGATTATGTTCTGACCTCTGGAAGGGGAATCATTTCCATGTATTTCAATTTGTCCAGTAAAATACGATTTGAAAAACACCAAACATGAAGGAACTAGTTATTCTTTTGAAGAAAACAAAAGCATCACAGAATCCCTGCTGTGTGTTATAAAAACAGGCAGTGGGTATTTGGGATCTTTTTATTTTATACACATGACAAGATTTTACACCAATAGTCAGTTAAATAGTACAAATTTACATTCATGAGGAATGTTAAAAAACAAAACAAAACAAAAATTCAACTAAAAAACCCACTTCTTCCTGTAACCCACAATCCCAACATTTTACAGTGCAGGGGAGAAGGAGGCTGGGGGAGCATCCAAACAAGTCTCTCTGAAAAGAAACGACTTTAAAATTTCACATTCCCTCTCCACACAGGATCTGTGGTGAGAGGATAATTTATAACTCATCTTTTTCTGCTGTAGATTCCTGTGAAAACAAAAATCAGAAGACATTTACAAATTACCACTAACCCTACCTTACAGAAAGGCTCAAATTTAAACTTTTTACTGTTTTGTTTGTAGTTGCTTACTGGCCAAAATAATTCAGAACCCACCAAGATCAATGCTTAAATTTAATTATCAAAACTTAAAACTACCTAATGTTTTCTAGGCATGTACTAGGTAATGTACATCTTTAATCGTAGCACTTTGAGGCAAAGGCACAGGACTATATAGAGACCCTATCTCACCTCCTTCCTCAGGGCCAACTGTTTCCAGTGCTAGAGTGTGTGCCAGTGCGTGCGTGCGTGCGTGTATGTATCCACTTAAAAAGATCTTGTGAATGGTTGGATAAAACAAAGGAATAAAACATGGATTTACTCCTGTGTAACTAGCTATTAGGAAGCCTATTTACTAGCCTCATGTTGCACCATGTGGGAAGAACTCAGTCGAGCCCAGCTCTCGCTCATACCTTTGCTGTTTCCTGTTCCTCTTCTTCTTCTTCTTCTGTGCCTGCATCCACTTCTTCCTCCTCGTCTTGTTCTGTGTCTTCTGTGGTGTCTTCAGGCTCTTCTTCCGGTTCTTCTTCTACCTAATGGCGACATTCATGAACCTGGTAAATGCTTCCATCTATTTTCATTTTGTTCTTAAAATGTTTAAGATCCTAATGGGTGTTTTAATAAGAACTAGTAAATCTTTACAATAGGGAAACTATCAGAAAGGAAGACAGGGATTTCTCCATTTCATAGGTGGGTGATGTCATCACTCGTAAGGGTTGACATGGAATAAATTATTACTAAGAGTAAAAACTAAACACAATTCTAAAGCACTATCACTTAACTGGAAGACAATTGTTCTTAAAACTTGCGGAAGAAGGCCGGGCATTGGTGGCGCACGCCTTTAATTCCAGCACTTGGGAGACAGAGGCAGACGGATCTCTGTGAGTTTGAGGCCAGCCTGGTCTCCACAGCGAGTGCCAGGATAGGCTCCAAAGCTACACAGAGAAACCCTGTCTCGAAAAATCAAAAAACAAAACAAAGCAAAAAAAACCTTGTGGAAGAGCCAAGGGCACAAACCTGTGCTTCAGGGTCAATGTTTAAGCTGAGGCGAAGCATTCTCTCTATTCTATCTCCATATGCCTTGGTGTCTGGTAGAAGATATCCTGACCGAAGTGTTGCTGTTTCAAACAAAACTACAGCAAGATCCAAGACAGTCTTGTCATCTTCATCTTCCTGATAGAAGGTACAGTCAATTAATATTAAAAGTTACAAAGCAGTCCAGTTTAAACAGAGTGACTACATCATCACTCACCTTAACCCTCCTAAGCATGTCTCTGATCAGCGGATGTCTGGGATTAATTTCAAATGTTTTCTTCTGACTTGCATAGTAACTGTTCAGGGACAAAATGAACATTAGTTAAGACACCAATTTTAGGGTTCACATGCCTACTGCATTCCAGCTTTAATTACAGAGGAAAAAAACTATTGCTTCCTTTACCAGGGGGTGATCATGGTTAGGTAAAATAATGAAATAAAAGAAACTAATGATGAGTCCCAAGTAACCAAGTTCTGCTGGATTAACGAACTGGTTTACTGTCTTATTCTCTAATACCCTAACTGAGTCATACAGTGATGGGTGCCGCTTAAGTACATAATCTCCATGATTTCTTCACCAGTGTGGGTCCCTAAAAGTTCACTCTTTTAATTAACACCAATGAAAAGTTTGCAGTGTTCTGTATTCATGCTCATTACCATTTTTCTGGTGACTTCAACCATTTCTGTAAGTCCCAGGCACACATCTGCTTAGGGCTTAATAAGGGGTACAACTTTTATTAGTCACTCTGACAATATGGTTGTCACAAGGACAGGAGCTAACAGTCTAAATGCAGTCAGTGCTGAATTGCACAGTAACTTTTCTGAAACTGATAGTTATGTTTTAAATGGCATTACAATGTTGGATAAAAGATACACCAATGAATCTTTGACCAGATACCCCTGGTCTTAGAGAGCCAGGCATGGTGGATCTCTGAGTTTGGTCTACAAAGTGAGTTTTAGGACAACCAAGTTGTTACACAGAGAAATCCTGTTTTGAAAAACCAAACAAAAAAACACTGTGAGTCACAATATAAAAGTGGACATTATTACCCCACCACCACCCCAAGAACAAGGTTGCTCAGTGTAGTTGTGGCTGTCCTGGACAGAACTCTGTAGATCAGTGCTGGGATTAAAGGTGTATGCTACCACTGCCCAGCCTGTGGACCTTATTCTTAACCCAAAGAAAAAATAAGGATGATACATGTAACAGATTTTTTTAAAAAATTACATTTGCACATAAAAGCGCAAGAGCTGGCACGTGGTTAGGGACTTCCCCAGTTACTTACTTTGTAGAGATGTCCTTGCCCGTTTGGTATGCTTGTGCCTTCATAATCCTCTCCATGTTGCCAGACCATCCATACTGGCTGGCCACAAGAGCACAAGGAGATTCCGTGAGACGCTGAGATACCACAGCCTTTTCAATCTTAGGATGAGAAACATTTAGACACAAGTGAGTATCAGCAGGTAGGCAATGCATTCATCACTCCAGATTATAGGCAGAGGCATTCTGATTCTGGAATCCCTGAGTAACACTCATTTAACCTGTTTTTGTTTTTTTTCAGCTACAATTTAAACTTAAACCTGTAAAAATCGTAGTATAAAAATCAGTATTGTAACAGGAAACTTCTGTAAGTTGCACTCACTCCACCTGTATTAAATGGCATTAAATTGTACTATTCACTTTTTTTTTGTGGTGCTGAGGTTCAAACCCAGGGTCTTAAGCACAACAGATAAGGGTGTCACTGAGCTGCAGTGAATTTCCTGTTGTTATTCTTGAGTACCTGAGGCTACACAAGTGCTATTGAGTGGTTACAGAGAAACCAGGTGTAGACTGAGCTTGTGGATAACTCTTAAGTGTAGAATTTAACAAGCCTGCCTGCTGCAAAGTACCTTGTCCTTAAGGGCCTTGTCTTTCATCCAGTTGAGCAGGGGCTCAAACTCCTTCTCTGTTGCTTCCCGGTTTTCCTTCGTTTTCTCGCTCTCATCAAACTTCACTCCTTCTTTGGCAACATTCTGGAACCTCTTCCCATCAAACTCGGGAAGAGCCTGAATGCAGTATTCATCCACAGGCTCTGTGAGGTAAATAACCTCATAGCCCTTCTTCAGAAGCCTCTCAACAAATGGAGAAGATTCGGCCTACAAAATTAAAGAAGTGTTTTTTCAATTTCTGCCTTGGCATATATATTAGCTGTGTCTTCACAGCATTAACAAGGACAATGAGTATGAGACAAGGACTTGAGTAAGTGCCCCCTAGCGGCTGCCTAACTATTCCAGCTGCACCACTTCTCACCTCTTTCCTGCTTGACCCAGCCATGAAGTAGATTTTGTCCTGCTTCTCCTTCATTCTTTCCACATACTGGTCTAAACTAGTAATGTCAGTTGAGTGATGAGAAGACTGGAACCTAAGAAGTTTAGCAAGCCGCGTCCGATTTGAGTGGTCCTCAATCACACCAAGCTTGATGTTGGTGCCAAACTCTTTCCAGAAAGTATCATTGTACTTCTCATCTGCAATCTTCTTGATCATGTCCAGAGTTTTACGGACGAGCTTCTTCCTTATCACCTAAGGAAAATGGAAATCTGGTTAGGAGAGTTCGTCTTAACCCTTTGCAAATGTAAGAGACTAGGAAAACAGTGACTGAGACAGCAGAATAGCCACACTACTGCCACTGACTAAGGGACAGGAAACTGACAGGGCACTCCTACATCAGACTGAGTTAGAATTATTGACAAGTGTTTTTAATGTTAGTATTCTATAATTTTGATATTTTGACAAAATGATTGATATTTACCAAACCAAACCCCACCTATTCTTCTAACTTCTTCGATACTGGTGGGAAAAGGCTTACTGAAAGGTCTGGCATGTGGTATGACCTCTGACTGTGGACCAGATAGTAGGCGTGTATGTTCCCTGTCTTTCAATTGGCTGAAACTGTATTAAAGTGTTGGGACCCAGAGTGAAAGAAGTTCCCTTTTTGAGAGGGGATCTAACAAGTAGGGTGGCCTCAAACTGCTAATAAACCCTGGTATGACTAGCATGACTAGCATGACCTTTCTGCTTTTTCCTTTGAGCTGCTGAGATTATAGGGAGCACTGTTGTGCCTGAAGTTCTTTTGGATAGTCAAAGACCAGCCTAGGCACAAAATCTAGTTGCTCCACTCACAGAACATTTTCACCTCAACCAAAGTCCTTACCTTGAGCAGTTTATGTTGCTGAAGAGTCTCACGGGAAACATTAAGGGGGAGATCATCTGAATCCACCTGCAAATAGCAAAACGGCCACTGAACAACAGAAACAACTCCATACCAAAAAATCCAATAGTGCTGGACTCCTACCCACTCTAATGACTACATTTTCAGATACTTACAACACCTTTGACAAAATTAAGGTACTTGGGCATCATATCATGGAAGTCATCGGTGATGAATACTCGGCGCACATAGAGCTGAGGGGAACCAAAACAGAGTTACCTTCTGGACATCACACTTTGAAGTTTTTAACTTAGTTTACAATACTTGAAAGTCCACCTACCTTAATATAATCGCTCTTCTTGGATCCATACTCATCAAACAGACCACGAGGAGCAGATGTGGGCACAAATAATATTGATTTGAAGGTGACTTCCCCTTCTGCAGTAAAGTGGATATAAGCCATGGGGTCATCACTTTCCTGTGGAAAAGTACCTTGTTATTCACGTCACAGGAAAAAGCAGTACTAAGGCTATAGCATGTTATCACACCTACAAGCATTTAACAGAGATGGACCAATACCAGGTCAAAACAGAACGGTGTGGAAGGCAGTACCCAGAGAAATGACTTAATTCTGACTAGGTGAGGCTTTTTTGGATGAGGACTGCTAAAAAAACACCACTGTTAATCCCAGGAAGGGTGATGACAGTGTCAAACATTAAAATTTCATGACATGCCAAGGTCTTCAACACATTCTATCTGCACAAAATCTTGTTTAGGGAAACAATAAGTAGAAGCAATCTTAATTCTAGTTTATATTCTTAGAATTCAAAATAATGGGCCAGTAAAAAAACAAAACAAAAAACCCAAAATATCCTAGAGAAACACATATTTAGTAGTATCTTAAATACATGACTGACAACGTTTGATGTCATGAGCAAACTCTTTCAAGATCACATAAAAAGCCATTCAGTAACTTATATCCTGTTTTATGTTGGAAACTAAATGCCTACCCATGTAAGCGTCTCTTAATAGGCCTATAACACATCTCTCAGTCATCTAGTGAGACCTGCAGATGACTCATTTCACATACATATAAATAAATGTATATAAATATATGTATATGGTTAAAAAGTTTGGATCAACTGTTGGATTCTGTACTGCTTCATTAACAAAGATGTTGTGCCCTGGAATGAATTACTCTCAAAGACTAGTCTTAACCAGACATCAATCTCCAAGGCTCATGTCAAATTTGAATATGATTTTGATTACAAAGTCAGGAAAATGAATTTAAATTTGATATATGACTGTTGTCCTCCATACTCTTGCAATAGATACATGATTGTCATAAACTTTTTGTATTATCTTATTGGGAAAAAGAGGGACAATCTTATTGTCACATACCATATTTAAATTAACACAAATATGCTGATAATTTTGTATAACACATTAATAACCTAAAACTAGAGAACTCTTAATACAGAATTTACCTTTGAAAATGATTTGTAGAAAGCTTTGTACTCATCTTCTTCTACCTCCTTGGATGGTCTCTGCCATATTGGTTTGATATCATTCATAAGTTCCCAATCCCAAACAGTTTTTTCAACCTAAAGTTAAGATATTTGGTAAGTTTCTTTTAGTACTCAATGGTTAACCTACATGTGATCATAATTTGTTATCTAATATGGGTCCTCCTGAAAGCATTCTTAAAGGCAAGGTTCTGGTCCCCTCACCCCTTCTTCTTTTTTTGGGGGGGAGGGAGTTTGAGACAAGGTTTCTCTGTGTAGCTTTGGAGGCTGTCCTGGGGCTCACTCAGTAGAAGAGGCTGTCCTTGAACTCAGAGATCTGCCTGCCTCTGCCTCCTGAGTGCTGGGATTAAAGGCATGCACCACCACTGCCTGGCAAAGGATCTGATTCTTTTAGAGATAAATTCTGGTTATGTGGCCCAGATTGGCATCAAACCAAGAACCTCTTGCCTCAGCCTCTCAAGTGTGGGGATTACAGGCTAAAAGCAGTCTTTCACTTAGCATTTACAGCCTGTATTTAACATTAGAAGGAAAGTAGCCAACATCATAAACTCAATTTTTGGAAATACTTCTACCCTCTGCCACCTAACCCAGCTAAGGAAATAGCTTGATATTTATCACAACATGCTAAGAGGACATAGAAAGCTTCCAGGATTTTAAAATTCAGTAGTTAAGAACACTAGCTGGTCTTCTAGAGGTCCTGAGTTCAATTCCCAACAACCACATGATGGCTCACAACATCTGGTGCCCTTTTCCGGCCTGCAGGGATACATGCAGATAGATCACTATATAAGTAATAAATAAATAAACAAATCTTTTTTTTTTTTAAATTCAGACTACAGAAGGTAGACTTAAATAATACAAAGAGTCAGAAGGTTTTTGCAGAGAATTTGCTACTTAAAAATGAAGCCTCATGCCATGCATGGTAATGATACCTTTAATAGTCACGCAGCACTGGGGAGGCAGGAGGATGCCAAAACTACATGAGACTCAGTTTCAAAAAGTCCAATCAACCATCCAAAACAAACATACATACCCCAGAATGAAGCTTCTAGGGCTGGAGAGATGGCTCAGTGATGAGCACTGACTGGAAGTTAGATTCTCAGCATCCCATGGTAGCTCACAACCCTTGCTAACACTAGTTCCAGAGGATCCAATGCCCTCTTCTGGCCTCCATGAGTACCACACACACAGTGGTGCATAAATATACAAGCAGGCAAACCACCCGTACACACAGAATAAAAACAATGTTTTAAGAGAATGAAGCTTCTTGAGTCTGTACTTATGGGAAGCTTTCCTCCCACAGACCCTAACATATATCTGAGGAGCCAGGCTTACTTTCTTAGTTTTTGGTTTCTTTTCTTCCTCCTCCTCCTCTACTGCAGCTTCATCATCAGATTCTTCCTTCTCTTCTTTGGCTGCTTCATCTTCTTCCAGGGGCTCCTCCACGGTCTCGGTCTGTTGATGCACAAAGTACAGTTATGGTTAAGCTTGCTGGCTTAATACTGATTTGTGTGTGACAAGGTTATATATGGCCTTGATCCAGACTCACCTTGCTGCTCCACACGTAGATGGGAAAGTTGATGAACTGAGAATACTTTCTGACAAGATTCTTAATTGTGTCCAATTCAAGGTAATCAGAGGCTTCTTCTTTTAAGACAAGACTGAAAGGAGAACAAGCCATTTAGACACAGCTTGCCCAGACTGGCTAGTGGGTAATAACAGCCAGCAGTTCTGTGTAACCCCTTGACACTCACAGTAAGACTCGCCCCCTCCTTCAGAGGGCTGTGAGCTAAATATAACCTATGGGGGTGGGAAGGGACACCACCCTGTATTCCCCCAGGTGGACACCAATGCTTTCATTAGAAAACAAAACTCTGATTACATTGGGAATTTTCATTTCTCAAGGTGAGAAAGCAGTGAGACATTTGAGAGACAATTATCTTCACTTTCATAGTTGTATACTGTCATTGTAGAAACCAAAGACTAAGTATTCCTAAATAAAAACAGTACAGCGCTTGCTGTGCGAGCATGAAGACCTGAGTCTGACCCCCAGCACCATGTAAAAAACTGGGCACAGCAGCATGCACTCATCATCCTAGCATTATAAAGCTCTACTGGAGCAGTGCTAGTTTAGAAATGCTTATTTTTCTAACTCTCCCCCACCCACCAAAAACAAGTCATAGTAGACTGCAAACACAGCAGATTCACCTGGCAGAAAGTAAAAGCCTCTTGGGGCATGGTGGCAGAGGCAGGCAGATCTTTGAGAATTTGAGGCCAGCCTAGTCTAAGCCAGGGCTACACAGAGGAAACCTCTGTCTGTGTGTGTGTGTGTGTGTGTGTGTGTGTGTGTGTGTGTGTGTGTGTGTGTGTGTGTGTGTTGGGGGGGGTGGTTGTTGTTAAAGGCCTCACTATTTAGAGGCTCCTACTACAAACAGGATATGGTGTAAGCTTTTGAGATGATCACATATACTCTGCCTTGGTGGTATGGAAAGTTACTGCTGCAAATGGAAGCTGCTGCTTAGATGTACAAGCATTCAGTCAATTGTAAGACCGACAAGAGGACAGAGCAGACAAAGGTGCTTGCCTCCAAGCCTCAAGACCTGAGTTATATTCCTGGGACAGAAGAAAAAACAAAACAACAACAACAAAATCCCAAACAGTAGCTGTGCTGAGACACATTCAGGAAGCGGTTAGCCTTTCAGACTGTGGCTCGCACCAGCAGAGGCAACCAGTGCTGCTGACCTGGTCTACAGCCAGGCCTGTAAGGTCATTTATGTATGGCTTTTCTTGTTAACCACTCAGGCAGCACTCACACTGCACTAAAACTGTGAGTAACCAAGGGTGACTTAGAACAATATGGGAGGGCATGAATACAGGTTCTATGCAAATATAATGCCATGTTAGACAAGAAACTCTTCATCCATTCCACCTGGGTACCTGCAGGGGTTCCTAAAGTCAATCCCAGGCAGACACAAAGTGACTCTATACTTTTTAAGATGCTGCACTGTGTGCCAGGGCATTCATTTTATTACCTGTGTCTTTCTCCTCTCTACACACTCTTGAAGACTAAACCTTTAGGAGTTGAGTAGGGTATGATGTGAGCAGGCAAATCTGACTTTAAAAGCTACGAACTTATAAAGCAATAAGTGAGCAGAAGGGATGCAGTGGAAAGAAAACAGTAACAACCAGCAACATTTACCAGATGCAAGTTGTCTGACCTTATCACTTAGTTCTCACAGATCTCTTCTAAGAGTTAGAGAGCTCAATTAGGGATGAGAACAGAGATACTACAAAACTGAATTGGCTGATGTCTTTTCTACTTTTTTCCTTTTAGTCATCCTGTATTGCTTCTGGAGCCTTCAAACAGACTGCTTGCTGTCTAGAGTATGTAAAGCTAATGTCAGTCTTGCACAAAGTCTTTTTGACAACTCCTCCTGAAAATGCAGGCTGCCTTTAGCATCCTTTCTTGCTTGTCACTCCTAAGTTATTTCGCATACTCTAATAAGCTTGCTTTTCACTGTGTGAAAGCATAGGACTACATCTGTCCTATTTTCCACCATAACCCCAACCCATATTTGACATTCAAATGGGTGACTGGTAATGTAGGACTTGAAAAAAGGAAATCGGACCTGTTGTATAGTTTCATTTGCTTTAGTAATTAATCACTATGCTAGGAAACTGTCCCAATGTATCTGGCCAGAGTTATTAACCAGATAATCTTGCCAGTCTCTTGGTTCATGAACATCTGGCACATTCTCTGATTATTTGTTCTCTTTACCCCACCCCAACATTCACTACAAAACATGACTATTTAAAAATAGGGAACAGACCAGCCTGGTCTACAAGAGCTAGTTCCAGGACAGGACAGCCTCCAAAGCCACAGAGAAACCCTGTCTCAAAAAAAAAAAAAAGGGGGGGGGGGGCAGAACTCCCATCAGCAACTGTGAGGAAGTCCTTTATACCTGTGAACACATCACCCCTTCCTGCCTGTCTCCAGGCTTCTCTGAATACCTCGACCTCCTTCTCTAATCTAGAAAACCCACAGCCACCTCTTTTGTGAGGTCTTCCATCAGCTTCTCCCTATCTGTGCTCCCTGACAACAGCAATCGTTAACTTTTTGTACCTAGACCCCTGCACATCTCAAGTCTTCCTTCCAATGTGACAGCAATTCCTCATTTTATGGGCAAGGAAGTCAGGGCCCACAATAAACCACATGCTTAGAAAGCCAGAACGAGACAATCAGGTTCCTCATTCTATTAATTAGTGTCAGAATCACTAATACTTACGTGATTGTTGTCCCCCTTCCTAGTGTGTTTCCTCTTGGGTCAGCAATTACAGAGAATTCGTTGGAATCAGATTCCCAGATGTGCTGGGTATCGTTGTTGTGTTTTGATGTGACAATGACCTTATCTGCTACAAGGAAGGCAGAATAAAAACCGACACCAAACTGGCCGATCAGTTCAGAAGTTGACTGACCATCTTCTTGTGCCTCTGTCATTTTGTTTAAAAACTCGCTCGTTCCAGATTTGGCTATGGTACCAAGGTTTTTAACCAACTCCTCTCTGGTCATTCCTACACCAGTGTCTGTGACATGCAGCAGGTTTTTCTCTTTATCACACTAAAATCAAGACAAGAACCAGTTAAGTCTCCTTAATGTTCACATTATGCCAAAGCCAGGTTCTATACGGGGAAATTACCATCTTGGACTACCTTAACTTTAGATAGATATACTACTCCATAGTCTACTTTATGGCATTTTTCAAAAGTACACCCTAAAATCATGTTTTTTTATACTTTTAAGTGCAGTGCATTTAAGAAAAACAGGCAGAGACTGGTTTAAATGTCAAAGAACAGATACTAATGCAAATAAAACATTTTGAAGATAAAATTCCAGAAAACCAATTTCACAGAAAACAAAAGGACTGCATTTGAATGATGCCTGATTTAGGGATCCATGACTATTAATGTTCTTCATTAAATAGTCCTGGCTGTCTCCAGGAGCCTAGTTGGACTGTGCATGCATCCATCCCCTGGCCATGTGATTATTTCTGCCTGGTGAAGTTGCAAGTGGGAGTTGTGAATGTGACTTTCAGGCTGAGCCTTTAATTGGTGTGCGACCCTTTACACCATGGTAACCAGAGATACTCCAGATGGCTGCTCAGTCAGCCTGTAGAATGATTTAAGCCCAGGACTTGGCTACATTCTCCTAAAGGGCCAGGTCACAGTGGTTACTACCATTGCTGACAAAAGGATTTATAATATAACTAGTATGACTGTGTTCTAACAAGCCTAATAAAAATAGGCCAAGTCAGATTTGTCCCCAAAACAGCCTGAGGACTTCCAGCCAAACCCACTGTGACTAGCACGTTACTTTTCACAGCAGAATATCCCATCGGATCCAACTGATAAGAGTGCCTGGCTTTTGAGTACCTTTAAAAAAAGCAAACAGTTCATTTAAGCTTACCTTAATCTTGACTGTTAACTCTTCATTTCCAGCAAGTGCATTTTCATCAGTTAGTGAGATGAGCCTTATCTTGTCCAAAGCATCAGAAGCATTTGAAATCAGTTCTCTCAGGAAAATCTAGAAGGAAGTCAGATTGATATACCAGGATTAATCTTCTGGCACAGTGAGATGCTGGTATTTATGCCAAATTCCTCATTTCTCCTCAGAAACATGAAAAGACAAGCTCTTTATGATCCTGCAGAGTCACTACAAAGATGGCTTTACTGTCTTCATAAAAAGCCAGGTGTAGTTGCCCTTCAGTCAGCAGGCACCTTACTTAGCTCACCTTACTTAGCTCACCTTACTGTGAGCTAAGATGCAAGACTGGGAAAATGTCTACTCCCCTCCTTCCCCAGTATAGCCAGGAGCAATCGTCATTCATTCCTATTGCATATTTCAATCTTTCTACTCCACTAGGAGAGGACACAAGCGCAACCACAGGGATACTTGCTGCTGTCCTAACCTCGTGATACTCCACTCACCTCTTTATTTTTGTACAAAGAATTGATGATAAGTTTCATCATCCTGTTAACTTCTGCTTGGAAGGCAAACTTTTCAGACTTTTCTCTGAGCTCTCTTATCTGTGACGCGTTTAACCCATCCAGCTGAATAGCTTCTTCCTCTCTAAGGGAATCAGATTAGATAAGCAAATACTTAAGTTTTCATTTTTAAAGGCTCTAGTCAGGACTCAGTGTCAGCAGCCTCTGAAGCTGTCTTATTAGAGGGTAAAAATGAAGCCTTTATAAAATACCATTAACACACAGGCTTATCTTTATTACAGTAATGGGCTATTTACCACTCAGTTGGCAAGAGTTCTTAAAATTCCCAGAAAAATAAGGCCAGCTACCCCCCACTGCATGTTCTCACATCAAACACTGTCACTAATTCCCAACAGATCATTCACACAAATGAACAACACAAATTTCAAGTTTTATGTCAGTTCTTTTTTTTTTTTTTTTTAAAGATTTTGTTTATAACATTCTGTTTCCATGTATATCTGCACACCAGAAGAGGGAAGAGGGCACCAGATCTCATAACCGATGGTTGTGAGCCACCATGTGGTTGCTGGGAATTGAACTCAGGACCTCTGGAAGAGCAGTCAGTGCTCTTAACTGCTGAGCCATCTCTCCAGCCCCTTATGTCAGTTCTTAAGAGAGTTCCCAGCACTAGCTATATGTCCTGCAGAGTCACTACCAGTTTTCTGTTTTTAGAACCTGAGATGCTAGGCTTATCCCCAGTACCCATCCAACCAGTAGTCATTCCTAGTGGCAGACTAAGGAGATACTTCTATGTGCAGATAACTGGGTACTCCCAGAAATGTCTGATTACTTTGTATCATTAGCAACTAACTTAATATGCACTAGCTCTTCCTTAGTCTGGAGAAGGAAGAATAGCAGCCACTGTGTCCCATACTTCCAGGGCTTATCAGCATAGTTTCAATTGCACCGACCTCTGCACAACTTCATCATCTGTCCTTGAGCCTTCTCTGCTTTTACCCAGGTCCTCTTCTACTGTACCATCCACATCGACTTCGTCGTCAGCTCTAACAAACCCTGAGGAAAAAAGTTAAAGCTCTCAAACACTATTGCTTCTTCTCTTTTGTACAAAGGACACACAACAGGGCAAGAGCAGCTAAAGTCAACAAAATTCAGTCGGTAAATACAAGATGTGGAGATGGAAAGAATGATGTATTACTGATTTCAATAACCAATATCAAGCCAAGTTAGCGCGCTGAAGTTTGAATGTAAATGCTCAAGACCCTCAGTGGACTCTGTAAGACCAGGCAGCCATCACTTCCCTCAAAACATGGCAGTGATACAGGCCCCATCGCCACCCACACGTGTTGCACACAGTGTGGAGGCCTCTACACCGGCTAAGCTAAAACGTGGGTCTCTAGTTATCACAGGTCAGAATGCAAACAGGGTTTGTGCAACTTCTGCAGAGGGGAACTGAAATCGGGCCCGAAGGCGAAAACATGTCAAGGACTGCGCTCGTAGCACGTCGGAATCGGACACTGGGACACCGCCACGACGCTGGCCTGAGGCCCGGCGTCTGCATGCCCGGCGTCAGGGAACAGAAACGCACTTCCGAAGAACCGCAGGGCAGGGGCCGGGGTCCTCAGGATGGGGTGGCCAAAGGTCGGATCTGATGACAAAAGTCCTTTAAGGAGGGGCCTACGCATGGCTACCCTGGGAGTAGAGTCCGAGAGGCCGCGCCCCGCCAGCGAGACTTCGGGGAGCGCTCCAGCTCCATCCGCAAGGCATTTAAACGCCCCGGCTCCAAGTCGCCTCTTCCGAGAGGTCTGAGGGCAAGCATCATCAACCCAGCCTCCTTCGGAGCCAGGAGATGGTTCCTGTGTCCTCTGCAGCTCCTGGCGCCCCCCTCCCAGGCTCAACGCCCCCAGAACGTTCGAGAAGCGGCCGCGCAGGAGGTGGGGGGGCACCCGCTGCCGCCCGATCACTCACCGAAGGTCAGCAGGACGCAGCAGAGGCCCAACACCCACAGGACCCTCATGGTGCGCGGACGGCGAGTCGCAAGTCCTCTTCGGTCGCAGGAGCCGCCTCCGCCCCCACCCCGAGCCTCAGGTCCTCACACCTCCAGCCGCGCGGTCCGCCCACTAACCCGCGCGCAGGTCGGGCTGCTTTTCACCGCACGGCTTGCGGGCGGGGGACGGGAAACACGAACACACCAATCGCACCTCACCACGCACTCCCCGCACCCAATGGGGACGCCCGGGGGGGACCGCAGCCCACCAATCGGAACTGTCCAGGTGCGGTGCCCGATGCCCGAAGCGTGGCTCCTTCCGATTGGGCTCGGCCAGCAGCTGTCCTCCAATCACATGGCTCCGCGGGCCTCTCACACGCAGGGCCACCCCCTGGCCTGGGAAGCCGTGGCCTCTGAGGAAAACCGTCCAATGAACGTCAGCGCATAGCACGTCTGTCTTTTCCTAGAGGTCCCGGGGAACCACTTCCGGTTCCTACAGAACGTTTAGTCCGTGACTAGGGGAAACGGTAGCTAAGACAACGCGTTTTTTACCCTTTTCCCGTCTACGACGGGGTGAGGGTAATGTTGGGAGCCGTTTCCGCTACGCTCGCCGTCACCTTTCTGTTCGTTATCGCTTTTCGAAAAAGGGAAATATGTAAAGGGTAGAACACTCTTCCTGGGTGCGTATGGATGGTAGTGAGAAACTACAATTCCCGGCATGCAACGCACTAGACTTATGAATGCTGGGAATCGTAGTCTTTGGCCTTAGAGCCAGTAGGCGTAGTTTGGCCTTTGCGCATTCTCGTCTTGTACCTGCGGGCCATGTACCCTGAGTGATTTAGGATTTCCACATTATTCTGATTGCAGATTAGATCTGTGCTTGTTGCGGTACTGTAATTCACATAGTTTTCAGAGGCGGACCTGGAGAGCCTTCCTATTCGTCCGGTGCCGAGAGCCAGCCCTGGCCGGTGGTGGCACGCTGGTTTCCAGGTCAGCCTTCTTGTGCGTCACTCCGGGCGGGCGCGTGGAGCCTTCAGCTACACCTGGCGTTTCGCTGCCCGAGCCTCCTGACCTCTTTGACTTGGTTTGCAGTAGAGAGTGCCTAGGTCCCCAACCCCGAGGGAAACTCCAAGGACTCGTTCCTTTGACATCCCAGTGAATTCCAAGGAGCGCCTTGGAAATCCCGCATCCCCTCTGTGAGTCAGCAGGACCGCGCGGCGTGAAGTCCAGGCTAACCCACAGCAGGAAAGGGCATTTGTAGATACTTGAGAGCAAAAGCCGCAGAGCTTGCAAATAGCCTGGACTGTGGCTTTGTAATTTCATAGAAACACCTTTCCGCCTTCCGAAAGACAGCGGAGGGCTCTTTCTGGTGAGGGAAGTCCCTAACGCCAGCTTGTGCACTCCTAAATGTTTTCTAAGCTCTTTAGTCGTATTTTAACAAATTTTCCACTATCACGAGCACCTGTCTCTAACACACCCGCTCCATCACCGCTTCCTCCAAGAAAATTGGAGTTGTTTTCGGATCGTCCAAATTCCTGAAGGCAAGCTTTTCAGTGACAGTTTCAAAGTCCCTTTGACAACTTCCGGAATTTAGACTTGCTGATCTTGAATCCGTGGTTTGGTGTTTACATAATGTAGCGATGCCTTATTATTTACATCTGTCTGATTTACCTACACGTAACGAAGCACAGAGAAGCGTAAGACACAGGTGTATGCCTCTCTGCTTGTGTTTGTATAGCCCATACCAGGATTTTATTGCTTTCTGTTTTTAGAAAAAGATGTCCGTTTCTGTGTCTGACAGCCCAATACCACTTTTTTTTTTTTCTTTTTTATCGAGCAAGTAAGCAACTGTTCTGAAACTGCGAATGCATTTTAACCAGCCAGTGGGGGCTAGATTTGGGCTGCACCTGGGAGGAACTGAGAATGAGATTTGTCCTCCAAAATAAAGCTGCTGTTTGTGGGTAGAAGTTTCTGCAGATGATGGTCCCCAGAGAGAAAAAGAAGAAGAAGAAAAAAGCACACAGAGGTGGTCGGCCCTCATCTGACTCAACTTCGGTCTTCTGTGTTTGCTGACTGAGCTCGCTGTAAAATAAATGGGTATCTGAGGAGAGGCTCAGTGGGTAAAATGATTGCTCCACCTGCACTATGACCTGAGTTAGGGTTCTCAGTACTTGCGTAATGGTCAGATGTTGGTCTGTAACTGGAGGTGGGGTGGTGGAGGTAGAGACAGACAGAGTTCTTTGGCCAGACAACTTAGTCAAAATGACAAACTCCAGGTTCAGTGAGGGATAGAGGAGCGCGTGCGCGAGCGCGCGCACGCGCACACACACACACACACACACACACACACACACACACACACACACACACACACACACACACACACACACAAGCAGTTTTGTTTTGAATTCCTAGTATTTTCCCCATGTTGTGTTCTGACTTTTGACCTGTGACCTCTCTAGTTTCCATTTTGCTCGGTCTTTCCCCCAGCACTATACTTGATGGGGTTTTTAAGCTCCCTACCTTTGGATCTGATTCTCTTGCTTCCTAGTGAGCCTCCTTATGGGTGTGGGTAACTGACCGTGTTCCTCTGCAAGAGTAAGTGTTCTTAGCCACTGTGCCATCTCTCCAGGCCTTTCTTCTTCTTCTTCTTCTTCTTCTTCTTCTTCTTCTTCCTCCTCCTCCTCCTCCTCCTCCTCCTCCTCCTATTCCTCCTCCTCCTCCTCCTGTTCCTCCTGTTCCTCCTCCTCCTCCTCTTTCTATGTAACCCTGGCTGTCCTGGAACTCACTTGCCTCTGCCTCCCTAGTGCTGGGATTAAAGGAGTGTGCCCCTGCTCCTGGCTAGTTTGTCTCTTTAACTCTGTATGTTTATGGCTATTACTGTCAATGGCTACCTTGTGGTTGTTGTCATAGTTATTGAGCAGCTCTAAGGCCATTGGTCCCCTGTCTTGCAGATAGGCAAAGGGGATGCAGTTAGGGGTATGAATAGCTCCCTCATATTTATATGAATCAGATGTACACACACACATGCATATATACATGACTGTGGGGAAACCAAGGCAGGAAAGCACTTGGCATTTGAGAGCATTGAAGAATTGAGGGATGGAGTGGATACCAAGGAGAACTGATGATAGGTTGATTGATTTGTTCCTTCCTTTCTTCTTCCTACCTCATTCTATTTCTCCCTTATTAATGCAGCAAATATAGGTCCTGATCTGTGCTAGGTATTACACTAGGAACTGGAAATTCACTGGTGAGCAATGAGTTATGGTTGTCCCTTCAGAGCATGAGCAGCTATTAACAGTGGAGGTGTACCATAAGTAAGTGTATATTATCATCTATGTATCTATCCATCTGTCTATCTGTCTGTCTGTCTGTCTGTCTATCTATCTGAGACAAGATCTTGCTAGCTAGTCCAGGCTGGTCTGAAACTCACTATGCAGCCCTAGCTAGCTCTAACTCAGGGCTCCAGAGAGCTAGAATTACAGGAGTACACATGGCTGTAAGCACAAGTACAGAATTTAACCTGGGTAAAGACACAGAAGAATGCTGCAAAAGAGAACCATGGAACTTTGATGGGAATATTCTTGATATTGGGGTGTGCCAAAAAAACCTCATCAAACTGGCCTGGTGGTGGTGGCACATAACTTTAATCCCAGCACTCAGGAGTCAGAGGCAGGTGGATCTCTGAGTTCAAGTCCAGCCTGATCTACAAAGCCAGTTCCAGGACAACCAGGGCTACTCAGAGAAATCCTGTCTCAAAAAACAAACAAAAAGAAAGAGAAAAGAAAAACTGAAGTCCTTTATTTTGTAGTTATTATTAATATATCCCAGATACCTAGGATCTTAGTTTTTTTTTAATGTCTCAAATGAATATGAGAATCTGGTAAATTATTGATTTTTAAGATGAATCTATAACAGTTAAGTCTTGTTTTCATTTTGTAAAAGCTGAAACAAAATAATCATTCATATTAGAAAAAATATATATGTGGGAATAAACAAAGATGTAATTTCAATATGAAAGAAGTTATATAGCTGGGCGTTGGTGGCACACACCTTTAATCCCAGCACTTGGGAGGCAGAGGCAGGCGGATCTCTGTGAGTTCGAGGCCAGCCTGGTCTTCAGAGTGAGTGCCAGGATAGGCTCCAAAGCTGCACAGAGAAACCCTGTCTCGAAAAAAATCAAAAGAAAGAAAGAAAGAAAGAAAGAAACTATATACAGTATTGAAGAAATGGAAATAGATGAACCAGGACTGGTCTGCACCTCTGAACTATGTACTGATATGTAGTAAGTTGCAGCTTAAAAGGCCACCCATTCATTGTCTCACGTGTCATCTGTTGATCTGGAGTTGAGGTATACATACTGTGATGTGTTTCAGTTTCTGTTGTTTTTCCAATTAGGGTCTCACTGGCCTTTATCCTTCTGCTTCTATTTCCTGAGTACTGGGACTACAGGTGTGTGCCACCCATGTCCAGAACTTGCTCTTTTATTTATTTATTTCATTATTTATTTTTGCCTTGTTTTTCAAGACTGTGTTTTTCTCTGTATAGTCTTGGTTATCCTGGAACTCACTTTTTAGACCAGGCTGGCCTCAGATTCACAGAGATCCACCTGCCTCTGCCTCCCAAGTGCTGGGAGTAAAGGCGTGCGCCACCATGCCACTTGCTTTTTTTTTTTTTTTTTTTTTTTTTTTTTTTTTTTTTTTTTGTGTGTGTGTGTGTGTGTGTGTGTGTGTGTGTGTTTGTAGTAACAAAAACAATCTTTGCATCATGTGTAGTTTTTACCTTTTGGCTTAGTTGCTTGAAAGTGATTCTCAGAGAGTAAAAATCACTGAACCACAGATTTTTGGTACTTGAAGATATTTATTTTTATGGATATGTGCATGAGCTTGCATGAGTTTATGTGCACCTAATGTTGCCTGTAGAGGCTGGAAAATGGCATTGGCGCCTCTGGAACTAGAGTTACAGAAGGTTGTGAGCTTTCATGTAGGAGCTTGAAACTGAACTTTGGTCCTCTGCAAGAGCATCACCTACAACATATATCTCCCTAGGACCTATTCTGAACCCATCTGCATCACAAGTGTTAGAGATGCTACAGTAAGATAGATGTAATGTCTTAAGACTGGACTAGACATGGAGGTGTATACCTGAGCTTCAGCACTGAGAAGAGCAAAAAATTTCAAGTTTGAGACCAGCCAGGATAACAGAGTGGTACCCTGTTTCAAGAAGCCAAAGAGGAGGAGGATGAGGATGAGGAAGGGGGTGGGCAAGCCCAGGAAGATGGCTCAGTTGGTAAAGTGCTTGTCATGTAAGCACAAGGACCGGAGTTCACTCCCTAGAACGCATTTTTGTAAGTGGCCTGTGCTTGTAATCCTAGCATCAGGGACATGGAAACAGGAAGATCACTGGGGCTCACTGCCACCATGACCAACCTCCTTGGCAAATTCTAAGCCAATGGTAGACTTTATCTCACAAATAAGGTGAATGACACCCAAGGAAGCATATTCAAGGTAAATTTGTGGCTTTCTCATACACAGGATTGCACACACACATAACTATGCTTCATACATATACTCTTTCACACACAGAAATGGGCCTCTGATCACAGAAAAATGAAAGATGGTAGTGTTTTTAGTTTGTCTTGGTTTTGTAAGGATTGGTAATCTAACTCTAGCTTCCTATGTGACAGATGAGACTTCTATTAATAAAATATCCATGGTGTTTGTTCTGTCATCTTCTTAGTATTTTTGAAAAAAATGTGAAATCAAAAAATAACCCCTTGTCCACATTGCTTATTTATTATAAAACTTCTCATGGGGCAAGTGTTTCCTGTACACTGATTTCCAGTCTCTTCATACTTCAAGTCTTACCTTTATAATATGGAGACATTATAATATACACATTCTGGGTAAATCTTGGTATTTAGGCCTGTCTGATGTCTCAGTGGGTAAAGGCACTTACTACCAAGTTTGATGACCTGAGCTCCTTCTCCAGAACCCACACGGTGGACAAAGAGAACTGACTTTCTAAAGTCATCCTCTGACCTCCACATATTGGCTGTGGCACACATGTGCCCCCTACTAATAAATAAGTAAAGCTAGTATGATTGTGGACACGGTGCTTATCCTGTCCAAACTTTTGGTATTTTATCTGTGTGGTAGGGTGGTAGTTTCTCTCTCATGGGATTATTGAGACAGTTCAATACAGTTCAATACTTTTTGAAAAGGGCATGGACTTAAATGTTGTGAGATCTTAGGAACTGTTTCATGCTTCTAACATGTTTTACTATATGTGGAAGGAATAAATATAATTTAAAAAGTGTGTTTGGTGTGGAAGGAAGCTGTATGGAGAAAAAGCTCATATGGTGAAGTAGTTTTCATACCTGTTTTTAGTTCTTGCAGGCATAACTGTGTCATCATTGGAGTGTTTTCCATTAGCTTGGTGGGATTAAATTCCAGTAGGTGAGTGAAATGTGTGTGAGCTTTTAGAACTGAAGATAAAATAAAGCCACAGAACCCCATCAGGCTCCTGGATGCAGACTTTCTTTGGTCACCAGCCACATTCTTTCTTGGTCTTGCTCTTTGGCCTGTTTTTCCTGTGCTGACCTCTGCTTCATAACTATTTTCATTCTTGCTTTGGCTCCTCATCATGAGTCTTCCTTGGCTGTTGTGGCTCAGCTTCTAACTACATTAGAGTCCATTTGTGGACCTGCCTTCCTTTTCTTATTGTCAGCATATCAGCTTGCTTTAGTTTTTATATTTCTAAGGGACAGAAGTAGTGGTTGGCTAGAGGACCTGGGAAGGTGGGCTGGGACTCTGGGAGAGTAGGGAGGCCCTGGGTTCTTTTCCCCATTCATCTTATGAACTGTTAGTTCTTCAGCTAAAGCTTTGTGGGGAGTCAGGGGAGACACAAGCTGCCATTAATCCTAACATAAATCTGTTCTGCCCTTTTCTGCCCTTATTTAAACTAGATGGACAGTGGCATTTCTTCATCAGAACACAATTCAAAGACATGATTTTAGTTAAGCTGACTGGTTGTTTATAGTGTCATTGAGGAGAAGACTCAAACTGCAGAAACTGGCAATTGGGCCAGGATAAAAGGTGTCTTTATTCCTAGTGTGATGTTATCCCTAAACTGCATGAAATGAATGAGAAGGCAAGTGAGCCTGGAGCAAGACACAACAGTCAACCCATCTTAAAGTGCCAGAAACGCATCCAGCCTTATGTCTGCTCCACTCTAGATGACTTCCAGGAAGAGAGAGACTTTTTGGCCAATATCATCTTCCCTCGACTTAATGACTTCTGCAGCCTCCGGGGCACCTACTTCAAAGCTGTGGACCTGAGGTGGTCAGCCGTGAAGGCCCATAAGTCCTTCACCACCAACCTGTTCCGACAGTACTCCTGCCTCCGCTCGCAGAATCTGAAGCTTTGCCTTGACTATGTGGACAGCTGTTTTCCCTTTTTCATCTGCCTGCTAGGGCAGAACTATGGAGACTTCCTCTCCGAGTACTCACCTTACCTGTTCTCCAAAGTGAAGGACTTCGAAAGTTTGTCCAAGGGAGAACAAAATCTGTATGTTGCTGCAAAAAATGGCTACCCTTGGGTCCTGGAGACTCCCCACTGCAGCCTGATGGAGTTCGAGATCATCCATGCAGCATTTCGGAAGGAATCTCCATTTCAGTTTTTCTACTTCCGGACAGCGAACTCACTGAGGACTTTCAGTGAGGAGGAAGATGTGTCCATGGCTTCTCTGAAGAATCAAGAGGGAAAAACGAAAATTGGAAAACTCAAGGCTAAGATCATTAGTAAAGGGCTTCCGGTCCGATTTTACAGAGACCTGGAGGAGCTGGGTGAGATGGTCTTCAAGGACTGGTCAGCTGTTGCAGAAAAGCTCTACCCAGTCCCTGGGGCTGTGGAAAACATAGGTCAGTAAATGAAGAGTCAGCTGAGTCCACCATGAGCAATCAGGAGATGTCTCCTGTGTCCTCCTGGAGAAGGAATTTTTAAAATTCCTGTGTATTTGCAGGTCAGAGGGCAACCTCAGGGAATCAGCTTTTGCCTTTTGCCTTGTTGAGGCCATCTTTCATTTCCGGGGTTCTGCACCCTCCAGTATGTCTGGCCCACAAGTTTCCTGTCAGTTCTCCTGTCTCCATTTCCTATCTCATTGTATCCTGCAGTGCTGGGATTACAGATTCAGGCTACCACATCTGGCTTTTTGTGAGTTCCAGGAATAGAACTCAGGTAATCAAGCTTGTGTGGCAAGCTCTCTTACCTGCTGAGCCATTTCACTGGCCCAGGAAAGGAACTTTCCAACAGTTGAATATACTTGTTAATCATTTTGATTTTGGTTGTGAGCCTAGCCTTTAACGGCTGAGCCATCCCTCCAGCCCTTGTTAAGCATTTTAAGTTATTACCTTAATCTTATAGCATATGTTGCTCTCTTTAAAATTGGTGTGTGTGTGTGTGTGTGTGTGTGTGTGTGTGTGTGTGCCTGAGTGCATGTATAGGCACTGTGTACATCATGCGGGAGCCTGAGGTTAGAAAAAAGTGTCAGATCCCCTAGCACTGGAATCACAGGCTGTTGTGAGCCACCACATGTGGGTGATGGCTTTGGGGACTGAGAGAAAGAGCTGACCATGGACATGGAGATTGTTAGGGCGTTAGAGAGCTCAGAAGACCCAGAACATTGTCATTGTTTTCATCCAGGGTAGATTTTGTCCCCTGTGGTCTCATCTGCAGAGAATCTTGGTCATCATAAGTGAAGGAAGGAAAGCACCCCATGTCTAGTGGGTAGATGCTGGGGACATAAATGCATACAATAGACTTCCACAATGGATGGCTATCTGGTCCCAAATGCCAATGGTGCCACAGTTAAGAAAAGAAGGAACCTTCATTGTCTGGTGATATGTGTATAGTGTCACATTTAATCTTTAAGGTATAGCCCTTGAAGGATAACATTCTGGTCTCTCAGATGAGCAAATGAAGCTGCTGTATGGTGGCTAATTGTCTTACCAATGATACATGGTTACTAAAGGACCAATCCAGGTCTTGAACTCAGGTTCCTCTGATTCTCAAATCCCTACCTGTGGAATCCTTTACTACTCAGTGGAAGCCATGGACTACTATTATTCTGTTCCAGGTCTGCTGAATTAGAATTTGCATTTTAATGAGCTGACTAGGAGGTTTACATGCAAGCTAAAGTGAGAAATACTGTCCCATATAAAACACAGTGATTATGTTAGTTTTTTTTTTTTTTTTAACAATGTTCTATGGGCATGCATGTGGTAGATTGAAAGCCAACAACACTTAGCGTGACAGAGGTTCTCCACCCAGACAAGCTTCAGGAGGGATCTGTGAAGACAATTCATCAATTAATATGAGAAGTGAAATGTTCACAAGCATGTAGTATTTTTAAGGAATAAGATGATGACTGTTTGGTCCCATGCTCAAGGAATGACACACAAATGTTATAGTTTATAATGTAAGAACTAGTTAATGTGGGCATGCAAAATGACAGGAGATGGTATACTCTCAGATCCTTTCTGGGACCTGAGATCTTGTCATGTGATTAGGAACTGATGGATGGTGGTGACGCTAAGAATATTGACCCATACCATAGCGCTGTGCTGATAACATGAAACTGCTTGCAAGACAAACCATTGGGGACCCCAGAAAAGAATATTATTATCAGTTCTGTCAGTCTTTTGGTTGTAAGTGGTGTCAATAAAAAAGAATTGCAGAGTTTGGGCCCCATTCCATCCTATTGAATTAAAACTTGCTTATAGACACACCACAAGGACATTTGCTCAATGATGTTCATAGCAACATTATTTGTAATAGCCAGATCTTGGAAACAGCCTAGATGCCCCTCAATTGAAGAATGGAAAAGAAAATGTAGTATATTTACACATTGGAGTACTACTACTCAGCGGTAAGAAACAATGACATCCTAAAATTCGAAGGCAAATGGGCAAAACTAGAAAAAAAACCATCCTAAGTGAGGTAATAAAAAGCCAGAAAGGCAAATATAGTATGTACTCACTCATAAGTGAATACCAGAAATAAAGCAAAAGAGGGATAAAGGGTCCCCAGCAATGAGAAGTGGCATGAACTCCTGAGCTAATTGGGAGCATGAGGGTAGGGGAGAGGGGATACCCCGCCTACAGTCCATAACCACAGAGAAGCTTGAACCCCCTTCCAGAAACAGATGGAAGCAGATGCAGAAATCCACAACTAACCAATGGGCCAAGCTCCTGGCGTACAATCGAAGTGAGGGAGAAGCAAAAATATGAACAAAGAAGTCAAGATCATGATGGGGAAACCCACAGAATCAGCTAACCTAAGCTGGTGAGAGATCACTGACTCAGGTCTGACAGGTGGCAATGGTGTGACTGGGATGATATATGAGGCCACTGGCAATGGGTCCGAGATCTAACACTAATGCACAAACTGACTTAGTGGAGCTCATTCTATATGGAGAGAAACCATGCCCAGCCTAGACACAGGGGTGTGGGAGTGGAGAGGTGCCTTGATCCTGTCTCAACTAGATGATGGGACAGACTTAGTAGACTTACTATGGGAGGCATTATCCTCTCTGTGGAGCAGATGGGAGGAGGGGGGAGTGGAGGGAGTGGAAGGAAAGGAGGGAGGGGGAACTGGGATTGGAATGTAAAAAGTAAATTAATAAAAAAACCTTGCTTATAGAACTGCAGATCAAGGCTTAGTTCTAGTTCATGTGGGCTTCATCTTGGTGCTCAAATGGTATCCCTGGGCTTGGGTCTCAGTGTTTCTCATCTGGGATCTGCTGTCCTGATGTGGGCTGAACACCTTGAATTCCCCAGTCAGAAGAATTGACTCTGAGTCTTAGAATTGGGTCATTCTGTGTCTGAGAGCCTGAGCTGGGCCATATGTTTGTATTTGACTCAGTCACTAGTACCAAAAACAGTGTGATGGTCTGCTGAGCTAATCCTGTATCTGCAAGAGCATCCACAGCTGAGACTGAATGAACCCATACACTACATCAGTGCTGCTCCTGAGATGAAACAAAAGCCAGGGGATGTGAGGCAGCCAAAAATACAGACCAACTGATTACTGCAGGGGTAGGGTTTTGGACTCAGTCCAGACCTGTGATACATCCTAGAGTTTTCATTTCTAAGCTGTTGAATTTAGCAAGTTACTATTGATAAATATTGTTTTCTTGTATAAAACAGATTGACAGTAAATACCTAGAAAATAATAAAAAAGTGAAGCATCTAAACAAATGCACATGTTAGCCATTGGATGAACAAATAGCAACAAATGGGATCTGAAAGAGTATCTATGTGACTAATATTAATATTCTTTTACTGATCTCAGTCTGAAACCTACCTGTGCTTTTCTGTAGATTTGGATTAAGCTCACCTTATTCCTTGTATTTTTTTGAGACAGAATTTCTCTGTGTAACAGCCCTGGCTATCCTGGAACTCGCTCTGTAGATGAGGCTGGCCGTGAACTCACAGAGGTCTGCTTGTCACTGCTTCCTGAGTGCTGGAATTAAAGGCGTGCGCCATCACAGCCTGGCAGGGCCACCTTATTTCATTATTGTATTTATGTTAGTTTTAAATTTTTTTGGATATGCATGCAGTGTATGATGTACATGTGTCTGTAGAGGTGAGGGGGACACTTGGGCTCCAGCAGGCATGTAGAGGCCAGAGGACAGCACTGTGGAATCAGTTTTCTCCTACCTGGGTTAAACTCAGGTTTCTGGGCTTACTCAGCAAGTGTCTTTACCTATTGAGCCATCTTGTTGGCCCCAATTAGTTCTTGATTTTGAATGTTATTGAGAGGTTAGCTTATTTTAGACTTTCTTCATTTTTTTGTACTTTTAATTTTAAATTGCATATATTTATGTATGCGTGAGTATGCTGTGTGTGGGTATGTGTACATGAGTGCAGGTACTCTCAGATCCACTGGAGCTGAAGTTAAGGTAATTGTAAGCTGCCTGGGGGGCTGTGCTGAGAACTGAACTTGGGTCCTTGGCAAGAACAGTATGCACTCATAACAGCTGAGCCATCTTTTCAGCCCCTAGGCTTTATTTTTAAATGGATTTCTGTGCACTAAATGAATAAGAAGATACATAATGGGTTATATAAGTTGTTTATATTATATAAATTACAAATGCATAATTAAATAATATAAATTACTTATATAAATTATAAAATGCTTTAGAAACAAGCATTTTAAATTCTTTCCTCGTGGATCTTTGGGGCCCTTTAACAACTCAAGTGGAATCAGGACCTTACAGTCTACAGCTAGGGCAGTAGAAAACCATTTGGTCAGCTGTCAGCTCCTAAAAAGCAATGTACAGTTGTCAGTGTATACTCCTCTCTCTCTCTCTCTCTCTCTCTCTCTCTCTCTCTCTCTCTCTCTCTCTCTCTCTGTGTGTGTGTGTGTGTGTTTATGTATATGCAGGTACATTAGGGGTCAACTGCAGGTGTCATTCCTCAGGGTGCTGATCATCTTGTTTCAATTTTGAACTTGACTCATTGAAGTTTCATGACACATGGATGAAAATGCTGTAACAGAACCTATTCTTTGTAAGATAACTTTAAAAATAAATTTAAAATACTTCTACTATTAATAGAGAAACCTAAGTGAATGAAGATTAAGGTTAGTTCAAGAAACTTGTTGGACTGTAAGGTTCTCCTAAATTCTGTTGAAGCTCTTGGAACTTGGAGCTGGCCTTGGCCAAACTGGGTTTCTAAGTCTATTCTGGCCCAAATCTCAACCACAGAGAAGCCCAGTTAGTTATGGAGATGTCTTTTGGGAATCTATCAGACCAACTATGTTATATTTCATATATTGATACTGTCCTTCATTCCCCACCTCCCACCCCTGCCACCAGAATAAACTTGAGGAATATGTGTCTCTCCCAAGACAGGAGCACCCTGACCCTAACCAGGTAGTGGGTTTGGAACCAAAGCAAATTAGAGCTGGAATGAACATTAGAGATCATCTAGTTGTCTGGCCCTCCATATCTACCAGAATTTAAAGGACTTCACCAATGGCAGAGCTGCATCTATGCCTATGGTTGTTGTCCATGTTGGAACATTTTACCTGAAAACAAAAACAAAAACAAAAACCTCTGCTCCCCAACCTGTGCCATGGAAGACACATATGTACACACAAACCAGAAAACTGAACCTTTGTACTAGCTATCAGTTTGAAAAGACAACAGAATATATGTGTCAAGTCTAAATTTGTTTTTACCCTTGTTGCTTTCGGGTCATGGAACTTGGATTCTATGTGGAAATGGCATGCAGAAGATTAAATGGTCTGTCTGTGGCAGTGGTTCTCAACCTGTGGGTCACAACCCTTTTAGGAGGCTGCATATCAGATATTTATATTACGAATCATAACAGTAGCAAAATTACAGTTATGAAGTAGCAATGAAATAATTTTATGGTTGTGGGTCCCTGTAACATGAGGAACTATATTAAAGGGTCTCACAGCGTTAAGAAGGTTGAGAAACCCTGGTCTATGGTTTGCTTTCACTATTATATACAGTGGGCTATAAAATATGGTGCAACCATAGAGAGAAAGCAATATAGACACAGAAGGGTGGATTCCTTCCTGGGCATTTAGAAGAGTCACACAGAACTGAAGATGTGAAACTACAAATTTAACATTTTCCTTATCTTTTTTTCCCACTGTTAAGACTACAAACACAGTCTTGAGCACTTGTATCATGAAGAGTTTGCTGAGAAGTGCAAGCAAGTTTTTGTTTTTTCCAAGGAGTCAGACAGGACCTTTGAAATCCTGGAACAATTTGCCTTAAAAGATATTGAACTTGACTCTGACAGTACTATAGAAGGTTCGGGGTTAGACTCCATTCTCAGGTAAGAGGTTCAGAAATCCTAATTTATTTTATGGGACTAAAGCAGCCTGACTTTTGTAAATGTGAACCGCAGAATCCAGAGTGTGTAGCATCCCCTTTCCCATAACTTTCTGTAGGAAAGACCCAGTGAGAGTCCACACTCAAGATACCTTAGCAGCATGGCTGCCTAAGCCAGACTTGAACTGTGACAACACCAGTATATTATTAACATGGAAGAGGGAAATCTCATGGGACCCCAGCCCTAGACAAAGAACTACAAGCCACTAAGTACTGCTGAGAGAAGGAGAATTAGTCTTCTTTGGGGATAAGCCTTCTAATTTGTTATCTAATACCAAATGGTCAGCCCTGAAATCGTATACATACAGATGACACTAAATGAACCCAGCAGGTTATACTTATGTACTTATGCATATATATATATACACAATAATAATGAAGGAAGAAGAGGTTATGAATTTGAAGGAATAGAGGGTGTGGGGTGAAAGGGAGGGGAAATTATGTAATTATATTTTAATTTTTAAAAATTGCAGAAATGTAAATAAAAAATTCGGTTAAAGAAAGAAATAAAGAAAAGAAACAGGACTGTGGAAGCCATGCTTCAGTTAGAATGTTAGCAGTCACTCGGCTTTTTTGAAGTTTTTCTGTATTTCACATGCTCTCAAGACGAGGCCCTGTCCCTTTTCATACTTAATGAATCCCTGAGAATTGTGGGATGACTGTAAGCAAAAGAAACTAGGAAAATAAATGACATGCTTTGATGGTATTGTGTCATTTACAAAGAGTTTCTACATATATCATTATAAATTATATTCATATATTCACCAAGCTCTTATTAGAATATGGGCCATGTCATATTTGGGTTAGTAAGGAATCAAGTTATTACACACAATGCATGAAGCCCTTTTTGGTTTATCTGGTGTCCTGCACAGTATAGCCAACCCCCACATCTCTTCCACCAATGGCAATTGTAGACCCCTGTTGACTACCCACAGGCACTGGTCAGGTGAGGAGACAGTAAGAGAGCTGGAGTTATCAATAGTGCCCCTCCAAGTTTCATTTCTTAGGAGGGGGAAGGCTCCTTGGAATATTCTTTTCATTCTCCTCCCCTGGCTCTTATTGTAGTTCTCACTTATTTTGTAAGAATTATGTGATTTGAAATAAAGCCACAGTGGCTGGGATGGTACAGGCTGGCCTTTGCAGTTCCGATCCTAGTCTCAATACTCCCATTGCAGGCCACCAGAGTGACCAGTGAGCTTTCTGTTGTTCTGGGTGCTCATGCTAAATCACAACAGCATGATACTCAGATGTGGATTAAAAATGTTAGGCTCACATAGGTGAGTCCACAGAAGCAGAGAGTTAGGGAGTGGGGGTGGAAAGGAGGGTCTGTTAATGGGGACAGAGTTTTTGGGATACTGGGCATATTCTGGAGTTAAATAGCAGTGATGATTATATAGTCTTAAATAGTGAAAATCAGCTGTGTACTTTAAAACTGAGGGTTTTGCTTTGTAGATTCTCATTTTGTTTATTATTGTTGAAGAGTTCATCATCAGATAAATTTTGTTGTAATTGAAGAATTTAAGTTGGACCCAGTAAAAGCACAATGATTAGATAGTCTTTCTAACTGTATGGAAACACTCAGGGATCTGTTTGCTTTACCATCTGGAACAGTGCTCTGTACTGTGTGTTCCTGAACACTGTGTAAGTCAACAGAAGAATGTTCTTTGTTCTAAGGTGCAAAGCATGGCTGTAATACCAACCTATTTTTTTTTTTTTGGTTTTTTTTTTTTTTTTTTTGGTTTTTTTTTTTTTTTTTTTGGTTTTTCGAGGCAGGGTTTCTCTGTGGCTTTGGAGACTGTCCTGGAACTAGCTCTTGTAGATCAGGCTGGTTTCGAACTCAGAACTCACAGAGATCCTCCTGCTTCTGCCTCCTGAGTGCTGCATTTAAAGGCGTGCACCACCACCACCCGGCTAAATTTTTTTCCCCTTTACTTCTCTCTGTATCTTTCAGACTTGATCTCACTGACTGGCCTCAAGCTCACTATGTAGTCTAGGCTGGCCTTACACTTCTGGCCATCTTCCTGTCTCTGCCTCCTGAGTAGTGAAATTATAAGCATGTGCCACCATGCCAGGTCATACATCAACCTTTTATGAATAGTTTTTTGTTGCTGGGGGGGCGCAGCATCGGTGGTAGCGGTGGCGGTGGCAGCAGTGGCATATACCTTTAATCTCAGCACTTGGGAAGCAGAGGCAGGTGGATCTCTGTGAGTTCGAGGCCAGCCTGGTCCACAGAGTGAGTTCCAGGACAGTCAGAACTGTGACATAGAGAAACCCTCTCTCCAAAAGCCATATATATGTAAATTTTTGTAAGAATGTTTTCGTTTTTGAGAAGAAACCATGATGACTGTATCTGTTTATGCAGCAGATACAGTGCATATGTATTTGAACTCACTGATTTGACCGGCTTGGCGCTACATGCAGACTCACAGGGTACTACAGTGAACAAAAGAGCTGAAATCCCTGCCTCTATGATATTTGATGCCAGGCATGGAGACTAAGCAGCATGTAGGAGGAGTGTGCAGTATATTCCATGTATTCAAGGGCCAATGGAGCAGTATGAAACACTGAAGTGAAGGGGGCCAACTGATAGGTGAGGGAAAGTCCTAGGTGACAAGGTGATGTTTGGGTAACTAACAGAAATAACTGAGACAGCCAGCTATGCAAACATTGCCTGGAAGAACATTCCAGACAGAAGTAACTGTAAATACAGAAGCCCTGAGATTAGAGAAATAGCAAAGATACCAGGCAGCTGCGGGGAAAGTGGTGAGGATGAAGTTGGAGATGAATTGATGACCGTTTGGTCTCATAGGTCACCGATACGACATATTTCAATAAGTTCACTCTGGCTGGTGGCAGAAGTAGCAGTAGGACTCAAAATTAAATCCTACTTTTGAAAATTATGGGTGAAAGCCTGGAAGTGGTGGCACACACCTTACATCCCAGTACTTGGGAGACAGAGGCAGACGGATCTCTGAGTTCGAGGCCAGCCTGGCCTACAGAGCAAGTTCCAGAACAGCCAGGGCTACACAGGTAAATCCTGTCTTGAAACCCTCCACCCCCCAAAAAAATAAAAAAGAAAGAAAATTATTGATGAAGGTATTTACGGGACAGAGTATTGGCTCCCAGTTCCTATCAATGAAGACTGAATTATTACAAAACAATTACTTTCTAATGACTCTGAATTTTTATTTCAATGAGTTTTTAAACCAATCCTCTTACATGGCTGAATTTGAATTCTGGCTCATGCATTTCATTTCATTCCATTCATTCAGTCATTTATTCATTCAAACATTTGTTGTCAGGTCCTATCCTAGTCAATAGTAAGATAACTCCTCATGATATTTACTATCAGTGGAAAATCATTATACAGGCATATACAAACACACTGTGCACACACATGCACGGACAGATACATATGTTGTATGACTGGTGCTAGAGATTGAACCTGGGGCTTCATGTATGGAAGGCAAGCATTCTCCTACTGAACTATACCCCCCCAGGCATTTTTTCCTTATTTTTCTTTAAACATGGTCTCACTACATGATAAGGATGGCCTTAAACTTGTGATCTTCCTGCCTCAGTATCCCAAGTGGCAGAGTTTACAAATCAGCACCACTAAACCTAGCTGACACACATGTCTGAGGTGATGGTGTGTGCCCATGATCCCAGCAGTGGGGAGCTTGAGGCGGGTGGATCATTCTTGGCTACTTAGAAAGTTTGAGAGTAGCCTAAGCAACATGAGACCCTGTCTCAAAAAGAAACAAGTTAAAAAAAAAAAAGCTGTAAGTCACAAGGCTAGAGTCTCTGTCATGAAATTCACAGACCAGAGATACCTGTGCATATCTGGAAACTTCACTAAACATTAAGCACCAAGACAACTGTTGCCAGAACATAGACAATTGTTTATGTAGAGTTTCTAGCTACTCATATTGGCCAAGGTGCAGGCACTTCTCAGTCATCAATACTGGAGGCAAGTTAGTTGGGTTTCCCATTCTGAGGGTCTCAGAATTGATGAATTTCCATGGTGTATGGGTGCCCCTGCTCTTCATTCTCTTCCAATGTGACTTATGTCACCAAAGATAGCCTGGTGGGAGTGGGATGGGCACAGTAGACAGGAGAGTGGGTTGGGTAGGGATATTTTTCTCCCTAGGACTTGAGCCCTTGGCCATACTTGAAGTTCATGTTGGACAAGCCTAGGATCTATCTAGCCAGAGGAGCCTTCCAAAGTTCCTTGGCCTCTACTAGTAGTCTCTGAAGCTGACTGAAACCTGCTAATTCAGGCCAGAGCATCACATCTCTCAGAGAGAAAACATACCTAGGAGAATGTCTTCTCTTCTCTTTCTTGGTAAATATTCATGCCTGCCACTTGCCCTTCTATTTTTCAGAATACATTCTCTTCCGGTTTATAAGTCTATTTTGCTCTTGTCTGGAGAACGAGGCTGTGGGAAGTCCACTCTGATCGCCAACTGGGTCAGTTATTTCAAAAGCAAATATCCCGGAGTGTTGATGATCCCGTATTTCGTGGGAAGCACTTGTGAAAGCAGTGACATCATGTCTGTGATCCACTACTTCATCATTGAGCTGCAGCACAGAGCCCACGGTAACAGAACCAGCCCGATAGGCAGGAAACGAACACAGGCCCCTCTGCTATTCCTTCTACACTCCATGTTTATTTTAAAAAATTTACTTATTTTTATCTCATGTGCATTGGTGTTTTGCTTGCATGTATGTTTGTGTGAGGGTGTCGGATCCCCTGAAACTGGAATTACAGACACTTGTGAACTGCCATTCGAGTGCTGGCAATTGAACCCAGGTCCTCTGGAAGAGTAGCCAGTGTTCTTAACTGCTGAGCCATCTCTTCAGTCCCTATTTTTACTTTTTATAAATACCAATATGACTGCTTTAAACAACTCAGATCACTTGTCAAACTAAAACCAAAAAGTTCTTAAGACCAAGAAAAAAAATTGGTTTTGCTATAAGCATGAATCTTAATATAAAAAGAAAAATTATTAAAAATGTTGTGTCCATATCCCATGAGAACAAAATCATGACTCAAAGGATAACTAACATAAAAAAGTTTTAAATACCAGCTGAATTAGAAATGAGCAGTTCTTGGACCGGGTGTGGTGGCGCATGCTTTTAACCCCAGCACTCAGGAGGCAGAGGCAGGCGGATCTCTGTGAGTTCGAGGTCAGCCTGGTTTACCAAGCAAGTTCCACAGAGAAACCCTGTTTTGAAAAACAAAACAAAACAAAAAAACAAAAACAAAAACAAAAAAAAACAAAGAAAGAAAAAAGAAGAAAGAATGGAACAGTTCTTGCTCCTGCCCTTGGGGCTGGTTTCTCCTGTTTTGATGTAAATCCCTATGGCCTCACCATTCCTTGAATTTCCCAGGTAACAGTCTACTAGGTGTCCCTTCCTTGAGTAACAAGCAGAATTTCTCCCTATGGTGCCTGGAGGAAGCAGATTCTTCCTGCATAGAGGCTGTACCAGAAAGGCCAGCCTCTGCCTTGGGCTAGAACAGTGGGTCTCACCTGTCCTAAATCTGTGGCCCTTTAACACACTTCCTCCTGGTGTGTGGAGCCATAAAATTATTTTCATTGCTACTGCATAACTGTGATTTTGCTACTGTTATGAATTGTAATATAAATACCTGATATGCAAACCCTGTGGAAGTGTAGGCTGACTGCCCAAAGGTGTCTCGACCCACATGTTGAGAACAACTGGGCCAGAGGAAAGGGAAGAATGGGAGAGGCATGCCTATCCCTTTAGACCCGGGGCTTGTTCTCCCACCACCTTCTTTTGGAAAGAAGTTGGCCACATAAGCTACCAGGCAGGCTTGGAGGGCTAGCCGCTCTCCATGGAACCGATGGTGCTGCCCGAATAGATAGCCTTCCACTTGGCTACACTCTTTGGGAACATTTCACAGTCAACAGAGGCTAACTAACCATATAGAAATCAGAAGAAAGAACATTTCAGGCAAAAGGGAAAGCTAATGTGATGCTATAGTTCCAGAGCTGGAAACACAGTGGGATGATCTAGAAATGGACAGAGGGCCAGTGTGGCCAGACAACAATGGACGGCATGGTCTCTCAAAACAAGAAGTGAGTGCAGGGTTGCTTCCTTTGGGAGGGAGCTGTGTAGGGCAGAATATCAGGTGTGGATTCTGCTAAATCTAGTGAGAGGCAGTGGAGGGTTTTAAGCAGGGGATGACATGACTTGATACCAAATCAATCTGATATATGGGAAATGGATGCAGGGAAGCAAGCTTGTAAACAGGGAGGAACAAGTATTATTGATTATTGAAATGGCTGCTGGCTGAGGGCAGTAGTAGTAGAGAAAGAAGGGCTGTGGGTAGTTAGAGAAGTTGCTGAAGAACTGGATATAGGTTGGAAGAAAGGGGAAACTGAAGATATTCCCCACATCTGGACTTTAGGAGAAGGCAAGGGCTGCACACTGAGACAGGCAGTGCTGCTGGGGCGGGGGAGGGAAAGCAGTCTTGGTGGAAGTCAAGGGTCTGCTTTGGATGTGTGATGTTTAGATGCAAAGTGTGTTGTACCCGCATTGATGGCAGTCATGGAGGTGGGGAAGGGGTTGTGTCATTCTGTTCTGGGAGCCTGACTATCTGTATTCAAACCTGTGCCACTACTTAGTAGTCATATGGCCTTGGGTAAGTTATTTTGACTTCTGTGACTTGTTTTTTGTTTGCTTTGGTTTTTTTTTTTTTTTTTTGAGACATGTCTCATGTAGCTCAGGGTGATCTCAAATTTGTTGTGTAGTCAAGGATGGCCAACTCTACTTCCCAAGTGCTCGAATCACAAGCCTGCCATAACCAGTTTTGTTTTTCTAATTATAAAATGTGGATATAAAAGGAAAAAAGTACCTTTTAGGCATTTAAGAGGATTAACTAGGATAACGTACAAAAGACAAAGGCATTTGGTGCTGTGTAAGCCTGGCATACAGTAAGCATGGATAAACATTGGTGATTATCATTGCTGTGCACCTGCCGTGTGTGTGTGTGTGTGTGTGTGTGTGTGTGTGTGTGTGTGTTTGTTCATATGAATCTGACTTTCCCTGATGGTGATGGTTCATCTATTGTCACCCACCTGTGTGTCTGACAGTGACTTTGGATGTGTTCATACATTTCATGTGGGGCAGGACAGGTGTCTGTGAACATGCAGGCTGAGTTCTCTTCGGTTGCCCTTCCTGGGTCTGTGAAGCAGGTGTGACTGTCTCCATAGGCCCCTACGCCTATTCTGGCACATCCCCTAGGTGTTCACTCGGGGTAGGCAGCTGATGATGTAAGCGCTGCTGAACAAGCCCAGCTATGATTTTATTCCCAGAGTGAGTTGTTATTTTAATGAGTATGTCCTAATAAAAACAGCTACTGTCTCTCAAACATGCAGCTTTCCAATCTGGCAGCAGCAGGACAAAGATGAGATGTGAATATCAGGCAGCCCTCCATAAGAGCTTCTCTTCTTGTTCATGGTGGAAGCTTCGTAGAGGAGGCTTTGGGCTTGACTTTCTGGCTTCCCTCTTCACTGAGTAAACCGAGCAGTTTTCTCAAGCTCTTTTCCCTGTTTCTCACCTGTAGAACCCACCCCTAAGACTGTGCGTAAATGGAAAGATAAAGCGTGTGAAGGACTGACAATGGTGCCTGGCACCCTGCGGTTACTATTATTTTGCTGCTGTTGTTATTCGTTAGTGGGATTAGCATTCCTCTTTCAGTTGGATAAAAAAGCAGCCAGGTGCACTATTAAGGGAATTAAGACTCTCCCACTCCCTTTCTACGTTAAGGTGAAGAGAGGCTGCAATAGTAGACTCTGCGGTGTTGCCACTGCAGCCAGATTAGGTCGAGGCTGAGGGGCATTTTCTGGGCTTCCTGTGAGCGCAGGAGTCAGAAACGCAGCTGAGAGAACACAGGCGCACACTGCAGATTCAGCTGTCTCTCGGTGACTCACCTCTGTTCTATGCATCTGCAAGCATTTCTCTGTGAGATGGGATACCAAATGCCCCACATTACCTATTTCCAATTTTCTGGCACCAGCCTCTGCCTGCCAGGACAAAGTATCTGGTGGAGAAAAACTGTCACTATCACGCTCTCTTGATATCCTGTCTTCTCTCCTGCCTTGCTAGCAGCTGCTGTCCCTTCTGTGACATGCTTTGCAGAGTCAAGCTTTTTCTTGATGCAATTCCTCTCCACCATGTTCCATTGTGTTGGGTGGCAGTCCTGGAAGACTCCCTGAGCATCAGGCATTGTGTTAAGGGCTTCATCAGCTCCTTGTTCCAGGCTCCTCAGCCAGCATTAGCATACTGACAAGGAGACTGGCGCTCAGAGTGGCAGCATCACCAGCCACACATGGGTGGAGGGAGTGTCTACGCCCTGGCTCTTGTTGACTTTGAAGCTCAACACTGCACTTGTGTAGCCTGCTAGAGGCAAGAGAGGAAAACCCCAGTCTTTTGGAAGATTTCCTTCTTGGTCTTGGCATTGGCTCTCAGGAGAACTTGCCTGTGAGTTGATGAATAAATGGGCAGAGAGCCTCAGCTCTGTGCCCTGGGCCAAGAACGCTTCCTAGCTTGGCCTCTTGCACTTTGCCCCACAAGTCTGGCTTCTTTGGATTAGACCCATCACTTTGGGTTCATTCACTCCTCTTGAGTTTCTCTGGTGGTGAAATACTTCTCATTCTTTAAGTCTCTGCTCATGGACCACCCCTCTGTAAGAGGGCTGATGGGCAGATGTCTCTGACTGACAGCCAGGGTAGTCCCAGCCCCATTTGGTGGTTCTTCATGTGGATGTGAATTTCTCCTTTAAGGTTCACCAGGAGACTTTCGGAGGTCACAGTATTGCATGTGTGTCCCACTCTGCAAGCCCTGTGAGTTCAGAGGTTATGTCTATTTTATTGGTCCTTGATATACCTAGTTCCTGGCACAGGCATAGAAGATTCCCAGAAAATCTGTGTTGAACAATGGCCTCCACGCACATGAGCACACACAAGAGCACATACACACAGAGAGAGCAACCAAGTCTGCCTATTGGTAAGTCGTTAAGTGGGAATTTAAACATTTGAGATATTTAAATCAGACCTTTAATAGAGACAGATTGGCCCTTTCCAAACAATGGGAAATGTTTAGGACCATTTCCCAGCATTATGGATACTATCTTTATCTTTAACATAATTTTTAAGAAAAAATAGTTATGGCCACTAGAATGTCTTGCTTGGAGCTTTCCTTCATTGTGATGATTTTGCACCAAACTCCCGTAGCCTTTGGACTGACTCCTGGGGAGGTGGAGATAGAAGGGTCCCTGAAGTCACTGGTCAGCTAGTGTAGCAGCATGTTTCCGAGAGAGACCCTGTCCCAAAAGTTAAGTCAGAGAGTAACTGAGGAGGACACCAGACATTTACCCCCGACCTTGAGTGAACACAAGAAACATGTACAAACACCATACATAGTATTTTTATATGAAATCCTGAAAACATATCAGAGACATCTGGTGACAAATACCATCACTGCTTTGGGCCTGAATGTCCCGAGGAAGCCAGTCAAGCATGTGCATGCATGTGTCAGCTGCGCAACTGTGAGTAGCACTAATTTCCCAGCCTCTCTGCCCCGAGCCCATCAGCACGTCTTAGCAGCGAGTGGAACATTTTCACCTAATTTGAAATTTCTGTATTGTAGGTCCACAGATTGAAATGGATTTTCTTAATGAAGACTCAAATGTCTTGGTCTTTTCACTTCTTGTAGAAGTGTTCATGGCCTCCATCAGCTTTAAGCCATGCATACTTGTACTAGATGGGATTGAAGAGTTGATTGGCATTTATGGGATTTCAGGTCAGAAGGTAACATCTTTTAAAAATAACACTTTTTTATGAAAAATAAGGCCCCATTGTTTAGGGTGTATATAACACATTTCTATTGTGTTGTGTTTCTAGGTATACCTATCGTTGATTTTAATGATTGCTTTATGTTTTATTAGACACATATTTACATGGCATTCACCATGGGCTGGGTACCAGCTTTAAATGTATCAACATATTCTTTTTGTCTTAGAATCAAAGGTCTGGAGTGTACACAGATGTTCATCCTTGGTTGGACAGAGGGCAAGGAGATGCTGGGTGTTGTCTAAGGTCCAAAGACAATTAATTGGTGGGATCAGAATTCAGACGCAGGGAGCCAGTGAGATGGCGCAGTGGTAAGGATGCCTACTGCCATGGCTGACAATCTGAGTTCAATACCTTGAATCAGATAGTAGGAGAGAACTGACTCCCAAAAGTTGTCCTTTGACCTCTGCACTTGTGTGGTGACATCTGCCTGCACATATACATACACATGTGTAGGGAGAAACCCTGGTTAGAGGTACCTCTGACCCCGCCCGATAGTGGTGATTATCCCTGCCTGTCACTCCGGAGACTGGGGTTCCATTTCCCAATGGGGATCCAGTGACCAGGTTTGCACTGGAGCAGGACAGACCCTGAAATGCTTCCTAGTCAACTCAGCCAGGCAAAAGAGTGCTGAGCCTCTCTCCTTCTTAAAACCTTGTTATGTAACTCTCACCACGCCTAACTGGGCGTGGTCAGTGGAACTTCTAATCAGGGTTTCTCCCTACACACATGTGCACACAAAATAAAGAAATGAAAGTGTAATTAAAATTTTAACCACAACCAAGAAAAAAATCATATTGGGTATTTAACTCATGATTGTTTTACTGCAAAAAGTAACAATTCTTTACCATAACACAAGGTCTTCTTATCTTACTAAGCAGTTCAATTTGCCTTTTTAAAGATTTCCTCTGGTTATCACTGTAGGTTATTCTTCAGAGGTTTGAGATTTTATTAAATTCTTTGTGGACACCTATTTTTTTTTTTCTGGTTTTTTCGAGACAGGGTTTCTCTGTGGCTTTGGAGGCTGAACTGGAACTTGCTTTGTAGACTAGGCTGGTCTCGAACTCACAGAGATCTGCCTGCCTCTGCCTCCTGAGTGCTGGGACTAAAGAAAGGCATGTGCCACCACCGCCTGGCATGGACATCTATTTTTTTTTATTATTTATTAGTTCTAGTTAGGGAACAAGCTTGTTTCACATGTAAGTCCCTTCTCCCTCTCCCTCTCCCTCCCCCCCTTCCCCATGTGTCCAGGGCCAGAGTGTATCCCTTTACGTGGGATGGGCTCTCAAAGTCCCTTCTTACACCAGGGAAAAATACTAATCCAACACCAGAGGCTCCCTGGAGTGCAGAGGCCTCCTTATTGACATCCATGTTCAGGGGTCTGGATCAGTATTGTACTGGCCTCCCCGACAGCATCTGGGATCGATGTGCTCGCCCTTGTTCAGGCCAACTGTTCCTGTGGGTTTCTCCAACCTGGTACAAACCCCTTCGATCTTCATTCCTCCCTCTCTTCAACTAAATTCCCGATTTCAGCCCAGTGTATATCTGTGGAATGGACATCTATTTTTAAGAGTCCAGATTTGCACTGTTAGATTCATCATAGATGCATCAGCCAAATACAGTTTCATTCTGTGTGAATTTGTATTTCTTGCTACCTAATGCTTTCCCTATTCAAGTTACTCTTAGTGACCATAACCCACCATTTCCCTGTACTCACACCCAATATTCCATCTACTCTAAGTTTGAAAACCATCAGCAAAGTCATTTTAAGGTCTTTGAAGTTTTCAAATGTCTCCAATAGGCGAAAGACTTCTCCTGGCTGCCTCACTCGCTCCCTCCCCATTGTAAATTAATTCTGAGCACCGTCTCCTCCAGTCTGTCCTGCAAGTCACTGTGCACACGCCCTGATGTGCGGATTGTGGATTTCTCGGGCATGGGGGATGAAGACACGAAGTTCAGCATCTTCAAACGGCATCTTTGCACTCGTGACAAAGAGCGCTTTGAGCAGAGCAGACCCATTTTGAGGAAGAAGCCAAACCTGAACCCTCTGAAGCTCACTGTCATAGCCAGCGAGCTGCAGGAGTGCAGGATCTACCGCAACGAGTTCCAATGTCTGAGGGAGTACTTGGAGGTGGCCTCTGTCCAGGAACTCTGGGAGTTGATTCTGAAACGCTGGGTTGAAGATTATAGTTGGAATCTGAAGCCCAAAGAGGCCATAGAAACGGTGGCTTCAGGTAAAGGTTTGGGCAGTGTTGATATCTTGGTGGGAGTCCACAGGGACAAAAGGTCTGTGGTGTACAGTTGCTCAGGAGAGGGGTCTATGGAGGGAATTGTCATTAGAAATACAAGACTTCATTAGATTTGAATTTCAGATCAACAATAAGTAATATTTTAGGGGAGGGATATAAAAAGAAAAGATGGTATTCTGGGGGCTGGAGAAGCGCCTCAGCAGTTCCGAGAGCTTAGTGCCCTTGCAGAAGACCTGAGTTTGGTTCCCAGCATCCACTTCAGGTGGCTCGCAGGTACCTCTAACTTCATTTTCTGGAGACCTGATGCCTTCTGGCCTCTGCAGGCACCTGTATTCATGTAGTGCACGTGAATTCATGCAGACGCATATAAACAAAAAAGTAAATCTTTAAAAATAATGTTAGGATAGAAATGTGACTCTGATATTTCATGGGATGCAGTTAATCACTAATTGGATTCCAGAAAAATAACAAGTAATTCTCAGAGTAAATATGTTCCAAATATTGCATGGGGGCATATCTATATTAAAAATTTGGTTTATCTGAAATTCATATTTAACTGGGTATCTCTTCTTATGGCTAAATTTGGTGACTGTGTCTAGAGAGATGTGTTGACTATAAAGAGAACTGCATTAGGCACAGATTTGAAAATTTTAAGAGCTCTGAAAAAAGTGTACTTTTATTTGTTTGTTTGTTGGTTAGTTTGTTTGAGACAGTGTTTCTCTGTGTAACAGTCCTGGCTGTTCTGGAACTCACTCTGTAGACCAGGCTGGTCTCCCACTCTCTGAGATTCACCTGCCTTTGCCTCCCAAGGGTTAGTATTAAAGGTGTGTACCACCATCACCCAGCAAAAGTGTACTTTTATTGTTTCTATAACTCAGTATAAACCTCTGTCTTTATCCCATGGTCCTACTTTGGGCTGAAGCCTATCCAGTGAATTTAGGTATACTCTCCATGTCTTCAGCCAATGGGGCCTCGTAAGTCTGGCAATTCAAATGCTTTCCATGTTTCTCTTGGATGGAGCCTTGGTCATGTGTGTCTTTGGTTGTCTTCTGCATTGGGAGTTGATCCCAAATGGACCACAAAGTCCTTAAAGTGTCCTTCCTTTTGTGGCTCCTTCTAGGAGCACAGTGTTTTGTCATCTTTTCTTGGTTGTTCTGTCTCTGCTGCCCCCTGCTGGTGCAGTCCCTCATCCTCACCACAGAGAATCTTAATCCTGGCTTTTGTCTTGTTTTTGAGACCTGCTCTCTATATGTCGTTCTGTCTGGTCCAGAACTTGCTATGTAGTCCAGGCTGGACTTCAACTCACAGAGCTCCACCTGCTCTTGCCTCCAAGTACTGGAACTAAAAGTGTGTGCTACCACACTGGCTCCCCTGGCTTCTTCAGTCCTGATTTTCTCATCAACTCTCTCCTGGATCTTTCTCAGTTCTGCAATGGCTCCTTTCTTCCTAGGTGAGGAAAAAAGCTCATCTTGTGAGTCTATTGTTTGTGGTAAACAACTTACTCTAGAATTTGTTTATGATATAAACAATCAGGCTTTTGAAAGTTTTTATTCTCTCAGGCTGTTGTCTGTGCTGTAGGCCTATGAAGTCTGGTTTGAAACATGCTTTCCTTGTTTTGTTTCTGCTGCATCAGTCTTCTCTTCGGGTTGTGGAGCCTAGATTGGAACAGGATTGGAGAAATGGATGAGTAGTACAGGATACATTGATTACTACTGAGCTGTGTTGTCCCACCCAATTTCCTTTTCTTCTTTCTTTCTTTCTCTCTCCTTTTTTTTTTTTTTTTTGATTTTCTGAGACAGTGTTTCTCTGTGGCTTTGGAGGCTGTCCTAGAACTAGCTCTTGTAGACCAGGCTGGTCTCGAACTCACAGAGATCCGCCTGCCTCTGCCTCCCAAGTGATTAGAGGAGTGTGCCAGCACCGCCCGGCGCCCCACCCAATTTTCTGATCTACACTTTGCAAGTCTATCAAAGAAATGGATGTCAAGTTTGCTGTGCTCCACACCTCCATAGGGCGGAAGTGAGGTTCCCTGGATGAGTCACAGGGGTCATCTGATCCATTCTCTGCAGCTATGTCCCCATCTGACCCATTCCATATAGCTATGTCCCCAGACTGCACAGTATAGCCAGGGCTTCTTACTCCAGGGACTATAGCTTCCTTAGCACTGGCCAGCAATCCCGACTGGTCCAGGGAACTCTGCCACAGGTCTAGGAAGAGCTTGGCTGAGTTCAGTTGAGTTCAGGGGAAGCTTCATCAGCTGGGCTTCAGATCTGCTTTTACCTGGAGACAGGAGGTGATACAAGTCCCTTCAATGTATGAAAGGTAGTGGATCCTGGTGCTTTGTTTCTCTGTGATCTGGTCTCGTTTATAGCCAGTGATAGGACAGAAGCTGAAGGGGCCCTTCAGTGTTGCCTGTGGGTGTGAAGGAAACACTTGTAAAGGAGATACACTTGCATCATAACCGGCACCACTGGGCAGCATGCTCAGTGGGGTGATCGTACCTGTTAGCTGTGACACTGCAGATAGTGGCTAACACCAAGGGCTCTGAAGGTAGACTGGATGCAAATTCCCTTTCAGCACTTAGTTGTGGGTGACTTTGGTCACTCAGTCACTCCTTTGTAAGTCTGGGCCATTACAGTACTTACCTTGGCTGAGGGAGTGATGCTGGTTACTTACATAGTGGACCCCACTCTCACTGACTCTCATGTTTCTGTCCCCACTGTCGTGGCTGCACAGGGCTGAGTGGATGGGTGGCAGACGCGCTGTGCCTGTTGTGTATCTCACATTGTGGGCTGGCCGAGCAGGAAGTGCTCCAGCTTTTGGACATGCTGGGCTACAGGAACCACCAAAAAGTGACTACAGTGCACTGGGCAGCCTTCCGCAACGCCACCAAGCACTGGATCCTGGAGAAACCCAATGGCCTCCTCTGCTTCCAGCACCAGTCCCTACGGACTACGGTGGAGCACAAGCTGCTGGGTGAGGAGCTGAGTCTGTGAAAATGCTTTCGGGCTAAAGGGAAGGAGCCAGTCACACTCAAGAGGAAATGTGCATGATTTCTCTTGTGGACATGACTGAGTAACTATGTAGGACATCAGTTGCACAAATTAAAGGAGACTGACTTCAATGGCTGAGCACTTCAAGGGTTCTTCCCTCAGGGAGCAGACTGAGTCTATCTTAGCTCCTTCCAGAAAATTACCTTGCCATTTTCCAAAAATAATTAAAAAATTATTCCAGGCAGTGGTGGTGCACACCTTTAATCCTAGCACTCGGGGGACAGAGGCAGGCCGATCTCTGTTAGTTTGACAACAGCCTAGTCTACAAAGCAAGTTCCAGGACAGCCAAGGCTACACAGAGAAACCCTGTCTGGAGATTCCCCCACCCTCAAAATTTTGAGCAATGACTTTGGAATCTTACAGAACTGAAAGTTTCTTATGCAAAGTGCTTAACTCCTTTAAACTCTGCTTCTCACTTTCAAAATAAGGATAACATGATATTTAACTTGAGAGTAATGGGAGCATGTGCATACATAGCATCCTATCTGTTACCCAGACATTCTTCTTGGCAGCCATTTGATTGGGGCAGTTCTCTAGTACCTTTGTTGGTTGGGTCTGTATGACTGTTTGGCATTCCCCAACCTGGATTAGTTTCAGGTCCCCAGTCCTAAAACAGACATAATAAACCTTTGTTCTCTGAAGCCACTGAGATCAGCAGTTGTCAGTGTATCATAGTCTAGTCTACTATAAGTCACACTTGCTCACAGCGTTCAAGGCTAAGTCTGTCAGTAAGAAGTGTGCTGCAATTTCTAAGCACAGAGCAGACCTTTCCTCCCATCCTGTACAAAGTTAGAGGAGAGTAGTCGCACTTTTTTTTTTAAAAGTAGCTTCATTTGTCATATGAGGATTCTTATCTTCCTCATGAGACTATTTTGTAAAAAGGTACAATGAAAAGTGGTGTTATCTACAACACCCTATAGCCCCTCCCTTTTCATGTGTGCTGGGCATTGAATCCAGGGCCTGTGTGTGCTAACCACATATTCTATAGTGACCTACACCCCAGTCTAAAATGTTGGTAATTTCAGCCTTTGTGTTTAACACGACTCAGGATACTATTTGTCCCATTTACTTTTCTCTCTCTCACTTCCTACCTTACCTTCTTGATGTACCACCCACAAAAATGCCTTCTCCATACAATGAAGGAGGGAGTTTTCTTTTGCTTCTATGGGTCTCATGTGCATTTCATTCCCACCAGATCAAATGTGCACACATTTGACAAAATAGCACAAACTCTCCAACTATGTGGGTGACTTGGAATCCATGTCAGCACAAAAGCAGGCTAAACAGTGGGTTCTTCTTGGTGAGTTTTTCTGATACCATGGGCTTGGTGTGCCATCTAGTGTATGTTCCATTCATCTTGCAAGAAAAAGTATCAAGGAAAAAAATGTAAAAATACTTGCAATATTTTGATTTTCAGGAATAGACCTCACCAGACTCTGATCAAGCTAAAGTCTAGGCTTTTGAGATCTTTGTTACTGAGTGTAATTTGTCAGGACCATTTCCCTTTGGAGATGAAGATGCAAACTCCTGACTTTAGCATCACACTCCTGTTTGATTGCTCAGTGACCATTGGGCCCTGAAGAGATCCAGGAAGAAGAATCAGGTCTCCCAAAATGCTCCCCATCACATGCTGGAGAATGCTTATTTAGGCAGCAGCCGTGGTGTGTACTGAAACTAGAACAGTAGACTGGAGAGATGGCTCAGTGGTTAAGAGCTCGTCTAGAGGACCTGAGTTTGACTTCCAGCAGGCACATGGCAGCCAACAACTGTTGTAACTCCAGGTCTAGGGAATCCGATGCCCTTTTCTGACCTCCATAGGCACTGCATGTATGTGGTGTGCAAGCATACATGCAGGCAAAACATCTATATACACCAAATAAAAATAAATACATAATATCTTTTTTTTCTTTTTCTTTTTAATTTTATTTACTTATTATGTATATAGTCTTGTGCCTGCATGCCAGCAGAGGGCACCAGATTTCATTCAAGGTGGTTGTGAGCCACTGTGTGGTTGCTGGGAATTGAACTCAGGACCTCTGGAAGAAGAGTCAGTACTCTTAACCACTGAGCCATCTCTCCAGCCCCATAATGTCTTAATATGTCTAACTATCCTTCTGTTCCTTCTACACTGTCACTCTCCTATTTCTTTTTTGTTTTGTTTTTATTATTGTTTTTCAAGACAGGGTTTCTCTGTGTAACTCTGGCTACCCTGGAACTAGCTCTGTAGACCAGGCTGGCCTTGAACCCACAGAGATCCACCTGTCTCTGCCTCCTGAGTACTGGGATAAAATGTGTGCACCATCACTGTTCAGCACTCCTACTTCTTAAAACAAACAGGAAAAAATTAGAAAATTAGTTGAAAGTGTTTCCTTGTGGGAGTGGGGGAGGGAAACTCAACATGAAAAGTCCACACATTTACCCTTAATCATAACTTTATATATTTTCTGTAGAAAATCAGAATGTTGCATAATATACTTTTTTGGTCATGTGTATGTGCATTTGTGGCTGCATGTGTGCATGTGTGTGTGCATGTGTGTATGTGCAGGTGTTCATTTGTGTGTGCACAGATGTGCATATGTGTGTGTGTGCACAGATGTGCGCGTGTGTGTTTTTGTGTGTGTGTGTGTGTGTGTGTGTGTGTGTGTGTGTGCATTCATGTGTGTATGCAGGTGTGTGTGTGTGCAGGTGTGCATGCATGTGTGCATGTGTGTGCATGGGTGCATATGTGTGTGTGTGTGTGTGTGTGTGTGTATGTGTGTGTGAATGTGTGTGTGTTCATGTGTGTAGAAGCCAGAGGTTGATATGAGATGTCTTCTTTAACTCCTTCTCACATTATATATTGAGGCAGGGTCTCTCACTTAAACCCATAACTCCTGGATCTGGCTAGCTTTGCTAGCTGGCCAATTAGCCTGCTCCAGGGATACCCTGGGTCTTCCTCCCTAGTGCTGTGATTACAGATGAACCATCACCTCTGCCTGGTGTTTGTACGGGTTCTGGGGACCCACATTCCGGGCCTCATGTTTGCTTATCAAGAACTTTCCTGCTGGTCCCGTAACAGACCACTCTGCAAGATGGCTTTGACTTTTCCCTCCCTGTTGATAGCATTGGAGTTATTATATTTTTTATGATAGCATTTTAATCCACTAAAACAGTCGAACTGTGAGGCTGCAATTGGTTTTGGAATAGGTGTGATCACCCTTGTGAGAGAGAGCAGTCCAAACACGTCCCAGAGCCCTGTGAATCACAAGAAGACGCGTTTCCACCAGGTCTTGATGAGGTACTTCCAGCGGCAAACCGTTTTCTGGAGAGTGTATCAGGAGCTGCCATGGCACATGAAGATGAGCGGCTGTTGGGAAGGCCTGTGTGACTTTGTCACGAGCCCTGGGTAAGTCCTGCTAGCCGTATATGGGATGTTGATGTCACATTAGCAACAAGGCTTCCCTGAGCAAAACGTTCATTTATTCACATATGGGACCTTAGTGTGGACTCCACGTTAATGGTGGTGGGTCCCCCAGGATGCTCTATTTGATCTACCTGGCATGACAGCATTCTCCTCTTTCACCCCATATGCATCCCTCCAGGCATTCCATAAAGACCAGGACAAGGCCAAGAAATCGGAAAAGGACCAAAGATGGCCATGCTGGTGCTGGGCCCTTGTCCTCACTTTTCTTGATTCATCCTCTTGTTGTTCTTTCTCCCTTCTTCTCCTGCTCCCTTCCTTTGCTTGCGTGCATTAGCTCAGTCAGTTGATTGAGGTCTCACCTGCCTCTGGCCTCTGGCACTGTCATAGCCCTTGACTAAGACACAGCCCTAACTAAGCTCTTCTCGCTTTCCACATATTGGGGGAGGGGGAGATTCAAAGCTAGACAGTTACTATACTTAAATAGATAGGGAGAATTGACTCTAACTATGGAAGAGGAAAAGGTTCATATTTATCTGGTGCCAGCCAAAGCTTTAAGGAGTGTATGGGACTGGCTGTCCTACAGGCCAGTGTGAATAGGGAAGAGAGGACAGAAAGAATGGAAGAGCCAAGGATAGGGACATAGGTAGCCATGGGGACATGAGTAGCCAGAACACATCTTGGGGCATGATGTAGCCATTGTACTTATGCCCTCACTGCACTGTAGTTATCTGCACAAGATTGGGCCCATCAACATATTACCATGGATGGGAAGGGAACATAAGGTCTCTCCTCTCCCCAAAGCTCTTGGCAGTCAATGGTTGTTGGGGGAGGGGTGTCATTTTTTTTCCAGTGGTATAGTCATTGATAATGTACCCATGCTCCTGTCTCTTGTGCTTATGCAAGCAACCTTAATTAAACTCTGTGGGACACATGGACACACACACACACACACACACACACACACACACGTTTATGTGTCATGGGGTATATAGCTCAGTTGATAGAATGTTTGCCTAGCTAAGACTCTGGTTATATGTAAAGCCCTGTGTTTGGTTGCTTAAACTGGGCATGGTGGCACATATATGTAATCCCAGCATTTGGGAGATCAAGGCAGGAAGATCAGAAGTTCAAGGTCCTCCTAGGTCTGGTTGTCCGGGGATGGAGGAGGCTATGGCTAGGCTAGTGAAATGTGGGAAGTAAAAGAATAGCTTCCTTCAAGGCATGAGTACTAAAATGATTGTGTGTCACAAGCATCACAGATTTCATATCAAAAACCCACAACCTGAGTTTGTGGACCAGGCTGCACCTTGTCCACTACTGGGATGTGCTACTGGAAGCTGGCTATGATGTATCTGAGGCTTTTCTACTGTCCGTTTCCAAGATAGAAGCAAAGCAGTACCAGAAAATAAAGAAGCAACACATGCTCTCAGGTACGTCAGCAACAGTGCACCGTCCACGTCCACACTCTCAGTCAGGTACTCCAGCAGCAGTGTGCTGACCATGCTCTCGGGTACTCCAGTGTTGCTGAGTCTTTTTCTGGGATAGAAAATGTCCCTAAGTCAATGCTCTGCTGTTTCTTTCCATGAGTCCGGAGTGGGACTTCAGTCTCCCATTACTCCTCCTCACAGTTTAAGACAAGGGTCTCTGGAAACAAGGGGTCAGGAAGGCCTAATGTTGAAATGGCTTCTCTCTCTCTCTCTCTCTCTCTCTCTCTCTCTCTCTCTCTCTCTTTTTTTTTCTCTCTCTCGGCAGTTTTCTAGAGTTTTCTCTTAGTGTTCCTTTCTGTCTATACTTCCTCAAGGCCCACCCCTAAGGCCTTCTTTATCTCCTTTTGGAGGAGCAGAGTCCCCTGCTTTTCATGACACTGGTAGCATTCTTTGTTTTGTTTTCTGTAGCACTGGGAACTCAACCAGAACCCAGGGCATGCCAGGTAAGCAGTCTATCTCTCTCTATAGCCTTGCACCACCAGTATTAGGATTATTTCTTGATCAACAGCTTTCCATCTTAAAAGGAATGTTTATTCTGGAGCCATTGGAGTGACCATGGCCTGGGAATACAGATTTAGGTTACCCTAAATTTCATGTTCTAGCGTGGAAGCAGTTTTCCAAAACTTTTTTTTTTTTTTTCTCGAGACAGGGTTTCTCTGTGTATCTTTGGAGCCTATCCTGGCACTCACTCTGTAGATGAGGCCTGGTCTCGAACTCACAAAGATCTGCCTGCCTCTGCCTCCTGAGTGCTGGGATTAAAGGCGTGCATCACCACCACTCGGCCTTTTCTAGTTTTACAGAACAAAGAAAGCCATAAGTCATAGGAAGTTTAAAGCACACCAGAGAAGCAATTACAACAAGATGGGGAACATTTCTATAGGCCAATGCTGTCTGATGACATTCTTGGCTGTAGGAGTGCTGGAAACTAGTGTTTTGCTAAGTTCATAGATTCCAATAGGTTTTAATCTGTTACTCACAATATGTTAGTTCAGGCACAGAGGTGGGCAGAGGATGGCTGTCCTGGAGTGTTGCAGCTAGCCCAAGATAAGATGGTTGACCTCTGGACCTGTAGCATTCTAACCTCTCCACAGTACTGAGATTCTAATCAGCCAATCAACATCTGCAGACAGATTCCTCTTGGGAGTTTTTATTCACAGACACACGAAGCTGGTTCTCTGAAGTGTTTGTTCACACCTTCAGTGCCTCAGATTAAATATATAAAACTAATTGTTGTGTGTCCCCTCTATCCTCTGATGGCTGTGCTTCCTCCTTCCATGACCCAGGCCTGGCAGTGCTATTGAAGGTGGTCTCAGGCCAGAGAGCTGCTCTTTGATGATCTCCTCATTCCTGGGTTTGGAGAAGATCCCACAATTCAATTTTTTAAAAGGATGTGTGAAGCATTTTCTTATATTGTTCTATTATTACATAAAATTTGGGAGTACTATATCAGGGTAAAAACCTGATTGATCAGAGAAGCATTGAAGTGACCAACAACCTTCTCTCTCTATCTATCTCCGATCTAAAAAAGTCCACAAATCTTTCTAAGTCCTCCCTACAACTATGTATGTCTCCCTATCTGTATCCTGGGTCCTCCAAAACATCTATGGCTAAGTCTTGTCAGCTAGTTGCTAAAGCTGCCCCCTGATTCAAAGTAAACTTTATTATCAGCCTTGGAGTGCCAGTGTGAACAAATATCCAGCAACAGGGGTGTGTGTGTGTGTGTGTGTGTGTGTGTGTGTGTGTGTGTGTGTGTGTGTGCGCGCGCGCGCATTTATACACAAAAAAAGTTAGAAGTGTATTTGGCAATAGCAAGATCTTTGGTGCAGTTCTGAGTACTCTTTAAATGTACATACACACACACACACACACACACACACACACACACACACACACACTTACTGCATCTCAGATGGGTTTCTCTGTGTAGCCCTGGCTGTCCTAGAACTTACTTTGTAGACCAGGCTGGCCTCAAACTCACAGAGGGAGACCTACCTCTGCTTCCCTAGTGCTGGGATTAAAGGCGTGCACCACCACAACCTGGTTATGTTTCTTTGTACATTTTATCATGTTCTAATTGTACTCTCTCTCTCTCTCTCTCCCTCTCTCTCTCTCTCTCTCTCTCTCTCTCTCTGTAGGTAAAGGTTATTACAGGTTATTACACTCTCAAAGGATGAGAGTGGAGAAAGGCCAGAAAGTATTAGTTTTATAATGAGAAAAACGATTTTCTCATCTCTTTTGTGTAGTGCTGAGTGGGTAAACATGAAGATGTGGTCAGTGGGAGGCAGGTTTCATGATGATTTCTTGGTGAAGTGATTGGTAAAAGCAGGGTGGACATGTTGACGTACAAACCACAGCTCTCATCTTCAGGGAATAAAAGATAGTTTATTTTGGAGGTATTTTGAGTGGCAATGGCCTGGAAACACAGAGTTAGGTTACTCCAAATTCCATGTTCCAACATGGGAGCAGTTTCATGAAGTTTTTGTAGTCTTACAGAACAAAGAAAGCCATAAATCAAGGGAAGTTTAAACTGCATTGGTGGGCATATCAAAGAGGGAGGTACAAGGAGATAGGGGCAGGTGTCCTGTAGGCCCAAGATGACACCTGATGACACTCTTAATTCTTGGATTGGTAGAGGCTAGTGTTCCGCCAAGATAATAGCTTCTAAGAGGCTTTTAAACAAGGTGTTAGTTCATGTTGAGTGGCTGTTCTGGAAGGCTAACCCTAGCCCAGAATAAAGTAATTAGCCCAGAACCTGCAAAATTCCAGTCTCTCCATTGTACTGAAATTCCACTGGCCCTTCAGTCTGGGGACATAGACTTCTTCCAGGAGCTTTTCATTCACACCCAGACACAGCCTCTTTTTAGAAATTTTCATTCACAACATTCGCCATTCAAATCTGAACCCTTGACAGGCATCTGAACCTTCTAATCTCCTTGGAATGCAAAATCCCCACATCCTCCACTGTTCTTCCTCACCTGTTACCTGCTCTAAACAGCTGTTGTGGTTCTGAGGCATTTCCATTTCCTGTTTCCAGTCTTTGGCCCTTCTAGTCGCAAACCCTTTGCTTTCTGGTTACTTTGGACAAACAGCTTTGACTTCAGCCCTCTGCATCTGTTTCCAAGACTGTTTGTGCTTTTGCCCTCTGACCTGAAGTACATTAGTTCCCAGCTACTCTGCAGTCATGGGGGATGCAGTCTGCTTTCTTAGACGTTAGAATACTGTCTGACCCACAGTAGGTACTCAGTACATGTTTACTCTGTGCATGATTGTAAGAAGCATGCAGGTCACACGCAACAACCAATGAACCAGCAATCATTTGTAATGACATTAGATCCAGTCATTTGAAATAAACAAACATGTAGGAAGTTTAAATCCCAGAACAGCAGTTCTTGGGGTTGTATATTAGATATTTACTAACAGGAGAAACATTACAGTAATAAAGTAGCAACAAAATAACTTTATGGCCAGGGAGTCACCATAGCATGAGGAACTGTGTTAAGGGGTCACAGGGTGATGCATGGATGGCAAGGTGAGAACCAATGTCTTAGAGCACATGAGAGAAGGTTGAACAGTGCCAACGCTGTCAACCATGAGTCAAAGATTTTACATGTTTTTTTTTTTTTTTGAGGGGAGTGGGTTTTGAGGCAGGGTTTCTCTGTGGCTTTGAAGGCTGTCCTGGAACTAGCTCTTGTAGACCTGGCTGGTCTGGAACTCACAGACCTGCCTTTGCCTCTGGAGTGCTGGGATTAAAGGCTTGCGACACCACTGCTCAGCTGATTTTACTTGTTCTTCTTTGTATATAATGGCATGCAAACACAAGTGTGTATCCCTATTTTGTTCTTTTTTATTGCTTTTCGTAGTGCTTCTGCATGTGCTATGCAAATGTTCTATCATTATGCTACATGCTTAACCTTTTCTTAGACATAATTTTTATGAATTCTTTGGGAATTTCACATCATATACCCCAATCCTACTGACTTCTCAGTCCCTCCATATCTACCTCGCACCCACATAGTATCCCCCCAAAAAACCAAATTAAAAATATTAATTAAACAAAACAAACAGAAAAACCTCTTTGCTCCTCCATCTTTCCTGCCTCTCCAACACTTCTTCACTCATCCCAGTGGCATTGGGAGCTGCAGGGTGTCATGCAGTGTGCCCCTTTGTCCACTTGGCTTTACTTGCAAGTGTTCATTGCAGTGAGTTCTGGGACGCCGTCAGTACTGAACCCTCACTGAAACTCCTCTCAGATACCCTGCTGTTGCCTGGAGTCATGGAGATCCTGCTGCATGGTTCCACAAGACCAGTCCCTCCACACACTCTGGCAGGTCATAGATGGGGTAGCTGCTGGAGTGGGCCAACTCAAAGAGCTGGATGTGGGTCTGAGTGGTAGCTGATTTGTTGAGTCTGGGCAGCTAGGACTGCCCACTTCAGGCAAGGGGCGGAGCCAACTCTACACCCATGCTGTCAGGGTCAGCTTTCTCATGCTCATGGTGAGGGGTGGGGCCATCTCTCCCAAGTGGGGGCCAGTTCCCTCTGAAGGGCAGGACCAGCTCTTCTGCTGCAGTAGCTAGCAAGGGGCAGGGGCAGCTCTCCCAGGGCCAGTGAAGGGCAGTGCTGGCTTAGCACAGCCCTTGGATTTCACCACCCATGGTTCCTATGGCTGTCTGTGGTAACAGGAGCCACAAACATCAACTCAGGCCCTGGCTGCTGTAGGCCACTGACCCAGACCATGGCCCCAGTGGCAGTGCAGGCAGTATGGCCCCAGACATCATCATGGCAAGCAGGCTACCTACATCAGCTATTCCCACTGCCTTTGCTTCTGAAGTTCTGCCTCTTTCCACAACGCATGAACAGTCTGTTCCTCTTTTGTTCCTAATTCTCCACCATATATTTGCTCATCATAACGATGTCAACATGCCAGGTGCCACAAGGCTTGTGGATGTCTTCATCTAGCCCAGGCCATGAGGACCCAGGTGAGCCTGGGCGTCTTCAGCCAGCCCACATGCCCAACATTCTTTACTTTTTATTTTGAGACAAGGTCTCATGAAATTGCCCAGGTTGTCCTTAAACTCTGCCATTGTCCTCATTGACCTTGAACTTGTGACCTTCCCAACTCAGCCTTCTGAGTAGTGGGGTTTACAGGCCTGCCTGTGTTCTCCAGGCCTGGCTGACATTTCTAACATTTTCTTTCTGTTTAATCTAGCAATTTATGATAGTTGTAACAGAGGGCAGAATTGTGTAAGCAACATTAAGTTGTTTTTCTTTTTTTTCCTGAGAAAAATCATTGCAAAACACAAATTATAACAATACATGGATTGAACTTGTCTTAGCTAGGGTTTCTGTTGCTGTGAAGAGACACCATGACCATGACAACTCTTACAAGGTGGCTTACAGTTTCAGAGGTTCAGTCTATTATCATCATGGTGGGGAGCACAGCAGCATGCAGGGAGAGTTGGTGTTGACTGCATCTCGTTCAGAAGGCAACAGGAAGTGGATTCAAACACGTTGAGCATAGGAAATCTCAAATCCCACCCCACAGTGACACACTTCCTCCAAAAAGGTCATACCTACTTCAACAAAGCCATACCTACTTAGTGCCACTCCCTATGAGTTTATGGGGGCCAATTACATTCAAACTACCCCAGAGCTATATAATTGTTTAACTCTTTAGATTTTAACATTTATACAAGTTTGTATAATACCATTATAGACTTTTATGTCATCATTTAAAGTATTTGCCAATATCTGTAATAAAATCTGCTGGTGTCTTGAACAAGAAATTGTAGCCAGATGTGATGGTATGTGTCTATGATCCCAGCACTTTGGAGGCAAAGGTAGGGGATTGTTACTTCAAGGCTAACCTGGGCTATAGACATTATCTGCCAAAACCCAAAAGAACTTGTCACAAACAAAGACAAAGAAAACCACCAATCACCGCCGACAAAAGGATGAGAAATGCAGGTGTGGAACCCTGGAGCAGGGTGAGACATAGGTAGTTTCGTCTTCCCAGTGTGCTTCAGGCCTGTTTGCTTTCTTCCTGTTCTAGTCCTGGAATGCAGCCTCTCTCAGGTTACTGTCGCTGATAAATGCAGGATGATACTCTTTATTGGAAGTTTCCTGAAACTCATGGGCAAGACCAATGAAGCAGAAAGGCTGTTCTTGAGTGTTGAGGACATGCTACTACAGGTAAAGTGAGGAAAAGAATCACATCCTACAACTGTATTCCTTCCGTGTTCTTCCAGACATCATTGACCTTTGTTCCTTTGAACTTTACTTCCTATACAAGTTAGGGGAGAGTCAGTGGATTTGTTCACCAAAGAGGAGGTTACAATTTTTGTTTTGTTTTGTTTTGTTTTGTTTTTGTGTTTTGAGACAGGGTTTCTCTGTAGCTTTGGAGCCTGTCCTGGAGCTCACTGTATAGACCAGGCTGGCCTCAAACTCACAGAGATCTGCCTGCCTCTGAGGAGGCTACAATTTTAATCCACACCTCAGCTGTACATCAATAACACCAAGCTCCAATAAACAGTAGTTATTGAAGAGTGACATCTGCAGATAGGTATCGCTGTGGGAGGAAATGGAATTACAGTGGCCCGAGACATGTCACTTCCATGGAGAGACATGACGTAGAAGATTGATTAATTATTTCTTGATTTTGTTTTTTCTAAACCATGAACTTTTGGCTTTACTGAATGTAATGAGAAGTTTACTCATAATGTTACCTGTAAAGTGACATGTAAATGAGGACTGACAACAGGCCCTCTGATCTGCTAAGTAGGTGTCTGAGATAACCCTGAGAAGAATTTTAAGAATGAAATGGGGAAGCTGCACACACATGGGCCTGTTTGAGAAGCTTCAAGGAGAAAGATAAAAAAGTTAGGAGAGTAGGCAGTTCAGGTCAAGTTTGATCCAGAATAGGTGTGTTTATGTGGGGCAGGAAATGAACCTGGTAGAAGGATGGTTGTGCAACAGATTGTAAGGAGGCTGCAGTGGGGGACAGACATGCAGACTGAGGCTAGAGGCAGGTCCTTCGGAAGGAGCTTAGGCTTCTCTTCCTTCAGGGTAGGAATGAGGGAGGGAAATGAGGGAAAACACGGTTAATTTGAAATTTGAAAGAACAGGCTGTGGCTGGTGAGATGGCTTTGTGGGTTAAAGGCTCTTGCAGCCAAGCCTAATGACTTGAATTCAATCCCTGGAACTCACATGATGGAAGGGAGAACTGTCTCCTGCAAGGCAAGGCAAGCTGTCCTCTGGCCACCCATGTACATCATGGTACACACACACACACACACACACACACACACACACACACATGCACAAATGTAATACAGTTTCTTTTGAGGAGGTTGTTTTTGAGACAAGGTCTGTCTCTGTAGCCCTAACTATCCTGGAAATCACAATGTAGACCAGGCCAGCCTTGCATTTGCAGAGATCTGCCTGACTCTGCCTCCTAAGTGCTGGGAATAAGATGTGTGCCACTATACTGACAACAAAATTACCTTTAAATGGAGGGACTGGAGAGATGGCTTAGTAGTTAAGAGTGCTTGCTGCTCTTTCAGAGGACTGGGTTTGGTTCCCAGCAGTTCCAAGGGATCTGACACCCTCTTCTAGTTTCCATGGGCACCTGCACATATGGCATAAGTTCACGTGGATGCATTCACATAAATATAAATAAAAACCAAAGTCTTTAAACAAAGGAGGAGGCAAAATGACAAGCAACCCAGACTGTGATTTCCCAATAGCTGTTCCTCCTGACTGTATGGAAACAGATTACATCCCAGGCTTTCTGAAGATGAGCACATACCCAAGTTGGGACCAGTGCAGTGTTCATGGAAATGATGAGAGGTTTCCAGGCACACTGAGAAAGGAGGCTAACCCAGTGTGCCCATATTGTGGAGAGGAAGAATTGTGAGGTCCAGTCACTTCAAGTTCATCTTTGGGACCCTGACATGAGGCTCATGTTTACAGAGAGTATAAGGCATTTCTATCTAAGCAGGCAGGCCTAGATAAGATGTGGTCTTGGCCATCTCTGACTTGTCATTCTTTCCCAATCCATATGTCCTGCCAAGTGGTCAGAATTGTGTCAGAACTTTCTCCCTCTGGCTGACACCAGGGCTTCACACCCTTCCCCACTAGCATGAGGTTCCTGGGGGAAACTCCAATTATTTGGGGACCATCATCTTAATAACCTGATAGCCAAAGAAAGGGGAACAAGTGTGTCATGAAAATACCTTCACTTTTGCTGGGGTAGTTACAGCTTGAGTGCATTAAATAACAGACTCTTCATGGCCTGGGATGGGAAGCCTAAACCAAGCTGCTAATGGAGTTGATGTCTGGTGAGGGTCTGCATTCCAGTTCATAGACAGCCATGCTCTTGCTGTGTTTTCAAGTAGAGGAAAGGGGTGAGGGAACTTTGGGGCCCCTTTTAGAAGGACATTCACCCCCCCTTTTTCTGGTTAGTCTTATGTCAATTTGATGCCAGCTAGAGTTATCTAAAAGGAGGGAACCTCAGCTGAGAAAATGGCTCCATAAGAGCCCATAGGGCATTTTCTTAATAAGTGATCAATGGGCCCAGCCCATTGTGGATGGTGCCATCTGAACACTGGTGATCCTTGGATTCTATATGATAGCAACCTGGGAAAGCCATGGGGAGCAAGCCAGTAAGCAGAACCAGCCATGGCCTCTGCCTCAGCTCCTGCCTGCAGGTTTCTGTCCTGACTTGGCATCAGTGATGAACAGCAGAAGTGTAAGCCAAATGACCCCTTTGCTCCCACCTAGTCCCTTACTTTTCACTTGTTAGTTTGGGGGTTTTGTTACTTTGAGGCTAATCCTGACAAAAACTTACTTGCTTTGGTCATGATGTTTCATACAGCAGTAGTAACCCTAACTAGAACATTCACAACCTCCCCTGTTTTCCCTCCCAATGCCATCCCTCTTCGGGAAGGGTTTTGGCAGGGACTATGGGAGGATATAGTTCAGTTCACATGCCTGCCTTTCTTCCTGCTGTTTGATCTTGTGCCTATGATAGCTGGAGGTAGGACATCTATTTTAGACTGAGAAGTGTCCTTGAGAATGGAGGGAAGTCAGGAAGGGTCATGGAGTGAGGCAACAAGAGCCTGGGTATTTGAGATTCTAGGCCACCTAGTTTCTTATTTACACTTGAGGGAAACTGAGGTACTTTTTAAGTTTTGGGTTTTGTTATTTTCAGGCTAATCCTAACACATATTTAAGACAGCTTTCAGGGTAGGCTTTGACTTGGGACAGAAGAGAAGGTCAGATTAGTGAGGACTCAGTCTTGAAGAGAGGAACCCTTCACACTGCAATGACTTAGCTTTTCAGCTATCTGAGCCAGGAACTTCAAATATCACTGATAAGGAACACAGAAACAGTGTTCTCCTACGTCCTCAGAGAGTACTTGGGGACTAGAATAACATGTAACCTTGAGTTATGACACTCCTGGTTCCTTAAGGCATTTGTGCCTGTGTAGGCTCAGACTGTCTTGAAACTTCAAGTTCTGACATGTATCTATCATTTTCAACAGCATTCTCATAACCATTTGTCGTGACAAAGAACACTTGCTCTTTGAGCAATGTAGTAGCACCACCACCATCACCAAAATGAGTGTCTTAATAACCTTTACAGATGTAACTTGAAAGCTGCCGAAATCCTATGTACCTATTGTAAAGTGCCAAGCATAACTGTCCTTTGAGATACCTGTACCCATGCTTGGATATGTCTGGTATTTCCTGGGTGCCTCTTTTTCTCCCTTGTGCTTAACACACACACACACACACACACACACACAGAGAGAGACAGAGAGAGAGAGAGAGAGAGAGAGAGACAGACAGACAGACAGACAGACGGACAGACAGACAGACTTTGATTTTTCGAGGCAGGGTTTCTCTGTAGTGGAGCCTGTCCTGGAACTCACTCTGTCCATCAGGATGGCCTTGAACTCACAGAGAGCCACTTGCCTCTGCCTTCTGAGTGCTGGGATTAAAGACATGTGCCACCAGCACCCAGCTAAAGTCTATATTGTAATCTCTTCAGAAACTCCAGTTCTACTTCAGAGTGGCTGGCTCTGAAATTCTCTGTAGTGAAGGCAAGAACCCTGAATTTGCCTGTGTAGAGGGTTCTAAAAGGAAAGGAAACTCTTCTGCTTACAGGGGGCAGTGTGGAGCTCTGCCACTGTCCCGGTCATTGCTGAAAAGATCAGTCAAGTCAGAATGGAGGACTAGGAGAATGAAAAATAGGCATGAGGTCTGAAAGCTCACTGAGTGAGACACTTTCAAATCTGTGCCTGAGGGATGTGTAAAAGGGTGGGATTTCACACTGTGCCATGCTCTTTCCAAGGCCAAGTCAGTATCTCACAACAGATACTGACCTGTTTGCTGATGAAGCTCTAAGTCAAAGTTTAGTTGGACAGAAGGACATTTTCCCATAGTTACTGGACAGTAGGAAAACCCAGTCTTTAAATTAGAATCATGGACTAGGTATGGCTTTTAATCCCAGCACTCCGGAGGTAGAGGCAGGTAAATTTCTGTGAATTTGAGGTCAGCCTGATCTACATAGTGAGTTCCAGAAAAGCCAGAACTACAGAGAGAAACTCTATCTCATAAATTAAAACAACAACAAAAAACGACACCCACCAAACAAAGAACAAATAAGCAAACAAACAAAAACCAAAACAAAATTCATATCATGGAGCCAGGCTCTGCCAACCGTTTTGTAAGCTAACTTTGTGGTACAGCATGACATATAGGACCAGTGACATGGATCATGCCGTCCATCATGTCCTGTTTTATTAGTTACTAAACACACTGATATATATTATGTTAGGTTTTCTGAAATCAGATGCTAACAGTAAGATGACTATTAGTTTTCATGCTTGGACTGGACATTTAGGAGACTTAACTAACCAGTGTGTTCTAAATTTTTTATTACATGTGTGTATGTAACACACCACTAGGAATCAGTTCTCTCCTTCTGCCATATGGGTCCCATGACTGGACTCAGGAAGACGCCTTTACCCATTGAGTCATCTCAATGGCCTCTCTTGCCAGTGCTTGGGATCGAACTTAATTCCTCATGCAAGTTAGTGCTCTATGACTGAGCTACATTTGGCACCTAGCTACCCAGTGTCTTCTCTGCACTGACAGTGTAACAGGCCCACAGATCTTAGCACAACTGATGCCATGATAGAAGCATTGTGTAGGCCTGGGAACCTGCCAAAATGAGTACTAACCTTGCTTTTGGGCTTCTGCAGCTCTGCTTCTGGTTAACTGTTCTTGCTAACTGAGGTGTATCAAGCCAGGATGTGTTTTTTTTGTGCTTAAAAGCCCACCCTGAGAAGGGCTTGCGACTACACTAGGGTTCTGAACACCATGTGTAGTTGCCAGACAGCTAATAGACTTTCCATCGGCTTGAATCCACGTCCAAGTAGTTTTCTCTGGTGGGTACCTCATAACAATAGGGGTTTGACTGAGAATTGGTTTAAGTTTATGAAGTTTCAGTTAGTGAAATAAATGTGCTAGGCCTATTGGAAATCAGATAACAAATTTGAGACACTAGTGAAAACAAAGCAATTTTAAATATATAACTCTACAGAGAGGGGCGCACATAGAAAAATGGCAAAAATGGTTGGAGTACTGATTTGGGACATGACAGTGGTTTTTAAAGTGCGCTAATCCTGATAAATTTCTGTCCTCTAGATTTACTCCCTTCCTGAATTCATCTTGTTGGTTTAGGACACACAGCCTTACCCAATGAATCATTTGGGGGCCTACCTCCTTTTCTGGTCATGGACTCAGTCACATAGTGAGGACCCCTGTAACTTTCCAAGCTTTAGAGTTCTGAGACAAAATGGGGAGAGGGGCCTAGCTAGTCCTCCTGCTCTTCTGTGACTCTGATGAGTTCTAAGCATATCTCATACCTAAAATGGGCCATGACAACTTCTTCCTCATAGACATTAAGCATATTTTATGTTACAAGGGTGTCAGACATGAAGCTACCAGCTCTCTGGTCCCACTGAACTCAAGCAGCATTCTCAGCTGCTTATTTGCATGCTAGATAACCTGGATCACCTCTTCCGGGAACACTTGACACACAGAAGGCATTGGCATGCTACCATTAAATAATCATTATTGTGGGCCTCTGAGTGCCAGCCTTGGTGTCCTCTCAGGGTTCAGGCAGAATGCTGAACAGCAAGGGTGGGGGCTGGCTAAAGGGATCTGAGGGCAAACAAATCAGCTCACACACGTGTTCTTCTCATGTCTCTTTATTCTTTAAAAAAGTTGTTCCTCTCCCACAAGGCTTCCAGTTTATATACCCACACAGACACAATTAGCAGTTGGCAAATGCAAGGATACCAGGCATGCATTTTTCATGGCCAGAAAAACAGATAAGATCTGAGATAGAGGGCACCTTATGTCTCAGAGGGGATGTGACATGTAAAACGTCCAGGCAAAACTTAAAAGGCAGGGAAGAGTTAATGGAGTAAGGGGCTATGATTTCTAAGAAGGGAAGAGGGGTGTTAGTATATAAAACTACATTTGTGTGGTAGTTAAACTAGAAGTTTGTAATTGATAAATGTAGAAAAAGAAGGGGGAGAGATGCTATAGCTGTGCTTTCTATGCACTAGCTTTCGTTTTCAAAGCAGCTGGGAACACAGCCTCAGGGTAGCCATGGCAACCGGCATAAGCTTGGAAAGAAAATGGGTGGCATTTGATCCACATTAGCATTTTCACCAAATGTTAGCTGATTAAAGGGGGCTTCTCAGCGCTATTTCAAAGGGAAAAGGTAAAGCTATGTAGAGTAAGATCAGGAGGCTGCTGCTTCCAGCCTCAGGGTAAGCAGTGGGGTGCTCTTTACTGCTGACATCTGAGTGAAAAGGAATTCCTTTCTCTAGGGCCTTTTGAGAATTCAAGGCACCCAGTATATTTTCTATATATCAGAATTATACATCCAAATAAAAAGTCATCTTCCTGACTTTCCACAGATGCACTTGATGCATATATGCATCCAGTAGATAGAATAATTTCATGAGATAAATACACACAAGCAATGGGAAATACCCAGAGCTGTTCTTAGGGAAGAGATGAAGTGACTCATGAGAGAAATTACAGACAGGAACAATTGATTTCCACAACCAGTGGCTTCACGGCCTTGCCACGTGGAGTTCCCTACCACTCATGTGGTAGGTTGGCCTGTTGAGTATTAGCTATCCCATGGCCTTTGACAAATCATCTGTGAAAACATCCAAAATGGACTCTTAATTTGATGCATCTCCTAAGAAGAGTTTCATCACAGCAGTTTATCTGGTAACTATTTAAGTCTCCCTGAGAAGTGACATAGTAGGTGATATGGCTGTTGTCATTTTGTACAGAACCCATCCATGACAGAGATGCTCCTCAAAGCCCAGAATGCCATTGGGGAATTATATCTTGAAATTGGGATGACTCAGAAAGGCCTCACATATTTTCAGAAAGCGTGGTCAAACCTACTACGATTTACAATCTGTGACTTAAAAGCCAGCCAGGAATTGCTGAAGCAGAAAGGTAAATGACACCTTCCAAGGCCACTCCACCCATGCAATTCAGAGAGCAACCCCAGGGATATTCTCTGCCTGGGAAGGGGAAGAGCCAGGTGATTTTTTTTAATTCTAATTTTAATTTTTTTGGTTTTTATTTTATTTTTTTGAGACAGGGTTTCTCTGTAGCTTTGGAGCCTGTCCTAGAACTCGCTCAGTAAAACCAGTGAATCTGGTGATTTTAAAGATAACTATCCACTGCCACCTATGGTTGTGCATCTCTGTAATGCCAGCATGTAGGAGGCCAAGTAGGACCCGTGTAAAAAGATGAACATGGGCTGGTCAGTGGTGGCGCCCGCCTTCACTCCCAGCCCTCGGGAGGCAGAGGCAGGCAGATTTCTGTGAGTTCAAGGCAAATCTGGTCTACTGAGCGAATTCCAGGACAGACTCCAAAGCTACAAGAGAAACCCTGTCTTCAAAACAAAAAAAAACAAAACAAAACAAAAAAAAAAACAAGCAAAAGATGAACATGATGTCACATGCTTGTCACCCCAGTGCTGAAGAAGCAGAGGCAGGTAAATCCCCAAGGCTGTCTGGCCAGTCAGCCTCACCTGCTACTAAGTTCCAGGTCACTGAGATACCCTGTCACAAGAAACAAACAAAAAAGTATGGATGGCACCTGAAGAATGAAACTTAAAGCTATCCTCTGGTTTTTTATGTTCTCTCTCAGGAGGGCAGTGCACCTTTAATCCCAGCACTCTGGAGGTAGAAGCAGGTGGGTCTCTGTGAGTTCTAGAATAGCGAGGGCTAAATAGAGAAAACCCATCTCTCAAAAAACCAAAAAAAAAAAAAAAAAAAAGCTCACAAAAAATAAAAACCCCAAACCCTCATGCTTGCTCTGTCTCTGTCTCTGTCTCTGTCTCTGTCTCTGTCTCTGTCTCTGTCTCTGTCTCTGTCTCTGTCTCTGTCTCTGTCTCTGTCTCTGTCTCTGTCTCTGTCTCTCTCTCTCTCTCTCTCTCTCTCTCTCTCTCTCTCTGTGTGTGTGTGTTGTACTTACACACTATTGTGCACCTATGCCACCCCCCTCCAACAGATCCAATCTTCAGGTTCAAACTCCTGTCTTCACTCCTTGGCCCTTTGACTGCCACATGCATACAGATGCTTTGTATGGAAACAAACTCTATTCAGTGTAGGCCAGTGACCATTTTGTTGAGAAAAAACCCTGGTTCTTGGCATGAAGAAATGGTATTAAATGCTAGGCCTGTTGACATCTTGACTCTTCTGTAGATAAAACGTTAAACATTATCCTCTTTGCCAACATTTATTCCCCACAGTCAAAGTGATGAATAACTTGGCAAAATCGGCATCTGAGGAATTCATAAGAGAAAACAACCTTTTGGAATATGCTACTGAAATCTCCAAGTTTGTGACTGATAGCCCCCGCGATCAAGCTACCATGAAATATACTGAAGGTGTTCTCATGTAAGCATGATTTTTTTCTTAGTTTTTCTTGCTCTCCTATTCTTTTTATTAATATGCTTAGGAGCTGGGGATGCAGCTCAATTGCCTTGCATGCATGAAGTCCCAGGTTCAATTCCCAGAACAGTGTAAGTTAAGCACAATGATGCATGCCTGTAATCTCTGCACTTGTGAGGTGGAGACAGGAGGATAAGGGATTCAAGGTTGTCCTCAGCTTCATAGAAAGCTCAAAGCCAGTCTAGGCTAACACGAGACACTGTCTCAGCAATACATATTTACATTTATATTTGATGAGTACCTGTTACCACATCAACCCCCAACCCATCTTGTTGAATGTTGAGCATTGGCATGCTCATCTTCCAGCACAGTAGGGCTCAGCCATGGATGGTCTGAGGCCCCTCTCAAGGCACTTTGGGCAATATTTGGACACCTTTCTAGTTACCATGACTGGTAGGAGGATTTTTATTGCCATATAGAGGTAGAAGCCAGGGATGCTGCCTACAATGCATAGGCCCACAAGGAAATATTACTCTCCCAAAATGTCTACAGTGTAACAAGTCTTTCTCTGTTTCACCAGCTCCCAGATATTTGGAACTTCTTATTAATGACATGGAGACTTCTTATTAATTATGAAAGCTTGGCCTATAGCTTAGGCTTGCTTCTAACTAACTCTTATAACTTAAATTAGCCCATTTCTATTAATCTATGTTTAATAGATTGCCACTTGGCTCATGGCTGTTACCTCTCCTCCTGCGCATCCTGCTTGCTCTGCATGTCCTGGCATCTCTACCTTTCTCTTCCCAGAGTCCTCTCTGTCCCCAGAAGTCCTGCCTATACCTTCTGTCTAGCTACTGGCCATTCAGCTTTTTATTACACCAACCACAGTAATATACCTTCAGACAGTGTACAAATATTCGACATTTCCCCCTTTTTGTCTAAATAAAAAAGAAATGTTTCTTTTTAACTTTAACACAGTAAAGCTATATACAATGAGAACAATTATTAGGTAAGAATTACATTATCAATGTCTAGTCCATCTCTATTTGGCAAATTCGGAGAGAGTACTGTATATTACCATCTATCCTATCTTAGTGAGTCCAATGTTTTATACCTAAATCACTTTCTATCATAACTGGCATTACTATCCTAAAAAATATCTTTTTGTACTTTAAAACATCTTCTTTTTTTGTTTTCTTTAATTATTTTATTTTTAAAAAGATTTTATTTATTTATTATGTATACAACATTCTGCTTCCATATATATCTGCACACCAGAAGAGGGCACCAGATCTCATAACGGATGGTCCTGAGCCACTATGTGGTTGCTGGGAATTGAACTCAGGACCTCTGGAAGAGCAGTCAGTGCTCTTAACCTCTGAGCCATCTCTCCAGCCCTCTTTCATTATTTTATTTATTTATTTTTGTTTTTTGAGACAGGTTTCCTCTGTGTAGCTTTGTAGACCAGGCTAACCTTGAGCTCAAATTTGCCTGCCTTTGCCTCTTGAATGCTGGGATTAAAGGTGTGCACCACCACTGCCTGGCTGACTTTATTTTTAAAATATTTTTATGGTTTAAAACTATAGGTGTGAGCCAGGGAATTTATAGCATATGCCTTTAATTCCAGCCCTTAGGAGGCAGAGGCAGGTGGAGCTCTAGTCTATATAGTAAGTTCCAGGCCAGCTAAGCGGACGCACAATGAGATGCAGTCCCAAAATAAAAACTAACAAACAAAACCCATTGATGTCTGATCTTTCATACTGACATACAGATACCGAGCTGCCTAGTGGCACACATGTGTAACCCCAGCATTTAGGAGGTAGAGGCAGGAGTGCTGTGAGTCTGCTCCTGTTCTACATAGTGAGTTCCCGACCAGAAGAGCCTTTCACAGAAAGATCTTGCCTAACACCTCCCCACCTCCAAACAACAGTTCTGGAGATTGAACCCCGACGTGGGATGTCCTTCTGTATGCTGTGAATATGTGTTGCTTTTATTGGTTGATAGTAAAGATGCTTCGGCTGGCCTATGGCAGGGCAGAATATATCTGAATGGCAGGAAAGCCAAACTGAATACAGGGAGAAAGAAGGTGGGGCTGGGAGAGAGAGATGCCATCTGGCCACACAAGGACCAACATGCCAAAGTGCTGGGCATCATGGCTCACGCCTTTCATGCCAGAATCAGGAGGCAAAGACAGGCTTGTAGGTGATCTATGTGAACTCAAGGCCAGCCTGGTCTACATGGTGAGTAAAACATCTTCTTAGGTAAACATTGCTTTTATGTTTCTTAATCTTATACATTTTACATCTCTTATGTAAGTTTCTTTTCTGAATTTGGCAACGAGGAAAACTGGAACTATAACTATTGCATCTTCAACTCCATCCTTTTAAAGACCCCAGAAGGATATATATTACCTGAGTAAACAGGAAGTGCAGAGCAAGCAAATTCCAAAACTAGAAAAAATGACAGAGACAGCTGACTGCCTGGATAGTCACCCAAGTTTCCTCTATAATATTGGGACATCCATTTCCAGCCTATGGGCCTAAAATATCTGACAGACTTTTCTGTGAAGCAGGAATTTTGAAGGACTGTCTTACCTTATCTTGGTAAAGACAGTTGCCTTCTTTTGAGTCCTGCTTGTCCAATTTGGACAGCATACTGTCAGCATTTGAGGCAGGGGAAGTTTCTTTGCCCAGTGGCTAACTTTGCCACAGATGAAAGCATGGTCGTAGGGAGGCTTTTCGATGCCCGTTATCTTCTTTTGGAGTAAATTGGTGCTGCCAGGAGTAGACATGTCTCACTATCATAAAAGGCCTTATGTTATTAAAAACATTTTAAATGCCATATTCTGTAGAGCTCTGAGGTGTTTTAAGGCCATCTATCTGTTTAAAAGGTCTCAGATTGACCTGAACATGATTATAAATTTGTTATGGATGAGTAATTTGTATTTCTTTATTATCCTAAATAGCTTTGAAGGACTAGACTTTTACATTACATTTTTAAATGAGGTGCATGGGTATAATACCTTAAACAAGAAATAGAAAGATATAGTACAGTATAACAAAAATAACTTTAAATTTGTATCGATATACAAAAATATCTTAAACAAGAGTAGAAACATATATACAATATAGCAAAAATAACCTTAAATTTATATCAATATACAAAAATGCATAGCAATGTAAAATATTTGAGACTAGTAGTTGCCCCTTTTTTGTTTGTTTGGTTTTTCGAGACAGAGTTTCTCTGTGTAGCTTTGAAGCCTGTCCTAGAACTTGAACTCACAGAGATCTGCCTGCCTCTGCTTCCTGAATGCTGGGATTAAAGACATGTACCACTACTGCCAAGCTTTTTTATTTTTTTATGAATGTCTATACCCATTTTCTTTTCTTTCTTCAGCATCTAAGCACATTTTTTTTTTTTTTTTGAGACAGGGTTTCTCTGTATTAAAGCTGTTCAGGAACTCACTCTGTGGACCAGGCTGGCCTCGAACTCGCAGAGATCTGCCTGCCTCTGCCTCCTGAGTGCTGGGAGTAAAGGCATGCACCACCAATGCCCAGCTTCTAAGCACATTTTTAAACATACTAAATCTGTTTTCTTGGTCTGGACCTGACTTTTTGCATGTTTGCAGCCTTCTCCAACCACATGAGCAGCAGTCAGGCTCTCTGCCTTGAGGCTCCATTTAGCACATGGCCTGGCAGCTGGCTCTACTCCCTTCGGGTTGATGAGAGCCGGAGCCTCATGCCTGTGGGCCCTGGCCTGGAGCCAGTCTATCTATCCCAGCTCTGGTAGGGGCTTCTATCTAGTCTTCCACCACCGAGTAGTGTACCGCCCAATGCTCAGAAACCCCATTCAAGAGCTTGGTAGCAGGGCCTCTTAAAAGAGTCATGCCAGTGTAAACCAACCTGCAAGTGTTAAACCAACCAGAACTTTATTTAATTTATTTATTTATTTTTGGTTTTCTCAGGCCCTATGTGGATTTACATGCTGCTTGGTAGGCACCAAATGTAACAAGTCTTCCTCTGTCCCACCAGCTCCCAAATAATGACATGGGGACTTCTTATTAATTATGAAAGCCTGGCCTATGGCTTAGACTTGTTTCTAACTAGTTCCTATAGCTTAAGTTAGCATTTATATTAATTTACATTCTGCCACTTGGCTCATGGCTGTTACCTCTCCTCCTGCGCATCCTGCTTGCTCTGCATGTCTTGGCATCTCTACCTTTCTCTTCCTAGAGTCCTCTCTGTCCCCAGAAGTCCTGCCTATTCCTTCTGTCTAGCTACTGGCCATTCAGCTTTTTATTATACCAACCACAGTAATATACCTTCAGACAGTGTACAAATATTCCACAACACTATAGTGCTGAGGTTGAGAAGTGTTCTAGTTTATTTATTTGGATTTTTTGTTTTTGAGTCAAGATCTTGCCAGATAGCCCAGGGTGGCCTGAAATTCACTATGTAACCTAGGTTGGCCTTGAACTCATGATTCTCCTGCCTTAGCCTCTCAAATGCTGGGATTATAAGCGTGTACCACCATGCCTGGCTACTTTGGTTTCTTTATTAAGATGTTTCTGAGGACAGGCAGATGTAGCTCAGTGCTAGAGCCTGTACTGGCATGTACAAGGTTTGAGGTTTTCATCCTTAGCACTGCCTCTGCTCAAGACACAGGTGTGGGTGTGCTTGTATACACACACACACACACACACACACACACACACACACACACACACTCATTTCTGAGTGCTTTTGAGGTTCTGGATTCCCCAACTGTTACACACATCTTTCTGGATAGATATCTATATAAGAAAAGGGATTTTTGAGAATTGTTGCTAGCCCAGTGAATGTGGACTATTTACTGAAAGCATTCCCCATTCCTGGTAAACCACAGGCCTGTGTTTCATTCTCAGGTTGGTTTCTGGAAATATTCCTCTTGCAAAACTGAAGTTTCAAGAGTGTTTAAATATCAGAAGACGTCTCTTTGGAGATAAAAACAAACTAGTTGGAGAAATTATGGAACTTTTGGCAGATTTGCTGTTTTTCTTACTAGGAGAAAATGAAATGTAAGTTTCTCTGGACTATTTCAGGAAACATGTCCCTCCTGTTTCTCTAGTGTCTGGAGTGTGCATTGACCTGCCAGGGGCATCTTGCTTGTCTGTCTCTGGTGGGGATGTTCCCTTTCTGGAGGCTCTGTCCTTCTGTGTCTGTCAGGGCACCTGCTACAAGGCTTTCTGAAGACTCTGGGCCCACAGAGTGGTGGCCTTGGCAGCGGGTGAGGACACAGGGGTCTAGTGCACTCACTGTGAGTGTCCCCAGTGTTCCTGACAGGACTTATGAGTGTGTGCTTCACTAGGGCTTCTGTTCAGGCCTAGGCCCTGGCTGCTGTCTGTGGGACCCAATTCCACCATTCTGTGGGTCAGTGTGATCAAGGCCAGAGCCAGCCATGCCTCAGGCCATGCTCGCCTGCTGTTCCCCTGACTCCAGCAGCCTTTGAGATGTGGCGCTCCTCACATATTGAGGTGTAAAAGAGGGTGGTAGAGATCCTCACAGGGCCCTGGTGTGAGTGTGTCCAGACCTGTTTCCTCTGGCTGCAGGCTAGTGTGGTAGGAGTTTCTTTGTGAAGCCTGAGAACCAGCTGCAGACTTCCTGGGCCCAGCATTGCTCTTCCATAGCAGAGTCAGCTGACTGAATGTCTAGGGATATGCTGTTCAGTTGTGAAGTTACTAAGTCTTAGGTTTGGAGTTCTTCCCCCCTTCCCTCCTTGTGTCCTTTTCTACCTCAGTCTTCACTTCTCTAAGGCCATTTCCCCTCCTCTCTCATCAGTGGATGAATGCCCACTGGTTACTGAATGAAAATGAGGACATGGCTGTCGTAGGTACCATTGAGGAGAAGGTTTTATTGTACATATGAGGGAGAGACCAGCCACAGGCATTTGGAAGAGTCCAGCCTGAACATGGCCAGCAGACTTAACCAGGCCAAGAGAGGAGAGAGCCAGGATTGGGGCAGGGGTTAGTTGAGAGAGGAGGAATAGAGGAGAGAGGGCAAGAGGGGGGACTAGGAGCCAAAAGCAGAAGACCAAGAAAGAAGCCAAGGGGGTGCATAGCTAAAATGCCCGAGGTTATGTAAGGAAAAGGATCTGGGGAAGGGAAGGGCAGCTCAGGTGCTGGGGAGGTTTGAGGTAGGGTGCAGGGTGAGAGGCTGAGGAACTAGGACTCTGTAATTGGTACTTGCAATGCTGGGAGATGTTGGGAGAATCTGCAGCCAGGGTCTACTTTGATATGTTAATAGGCACCTCAGTTAGCCATTTGTCCTGGGTTTCTCTGAGGCCTAACAGTAATCTATAGTATCCGAGTATAAACTAGCCCATGTCCATTCTAACTGATATTTAAAAGGTAAAGACTAATTTAAATAAGGGAGGAGCCTGGGGTGAGCTGTGGGCTGTGTCTCACTGCTGGACTCAGATTTCGTCTCTATTGCCTAGTAACTGTGAAGTTGAACAGGTGTTTACTGTCTTGCAGTTTGGTGAGGCAAGCAGCAGAACATCCGAGGGCTTGACTCTGGCCCTCCTTGTTTTGCTGCTTCCGTGAAGCCGCCAGCATCTACCCAGGTTGCAGTCAGTGTGATCCTACCATCTTCTTGAAGGTTTTTCAACATTACAGCCCAAAGCCCTGGGCTAGGGCTATAGCTCATGTTCAAGGGGGTGAGGATGAGCTGTCACAAAACACTGTGACAATGTATAAAAGAAAGTCTTCAGTTGAGTTTAGGGTTCCAGAGTAGAGTCTATGGTGGTGAGCAAAAGCATGGCAGCAGGGACAACTAATTGACAGCTCACATGTTGACTGGAAAGAAGAATGGTTCCAGCCTTTGAAACCCAAAGCCCGCCCTCAGTGATGCCCTCCTGCAGCAAGGCCACACCTCCTAATCCTTCCCAAACAGTTCTACTAGCTGGGGACAAGGTATTCAAACATATGAACCTGTTGGGGCCAATCTCAACAATCTACCAGAGAGGCCCTGGCTGTGATACCCAGCACTGCAATAGTAGTAGTAGTAGCAGCAGCAGCAGCAGCAGCAGCAGCAGCAGTAGTAGTAGTAGTAATAGTGATAATAAAACAATAGGGACTGAGGATGAGGCTAAGTTGGGAGAAAGCCTAACATGCACTAAGGCTTTGGTTCAATTCCCAGCAAATCTCCACTCTGTGGAATGGTACATGCCTACAGTCCCAGAGCCCCAGAGGGAGGCAGGTGTTCAAGGTCATCCTTGGCGATATATGGAGTGTTGATGCTCTGTTTAAAAAAAAAAAAAGCCGCCACACTATTACCTGGATCTGTCTTCATTTTCCACCCTCTCAACTAACTGTGAGCATCTGCAGTCACCTTTAATCTTCCTTGCTCCCCCTCCTAAGGCCAGCATTTGGAGAACATTTGTTGAATGAACATATGCCCTGTTTCTTCCATGCACATCGTTAACTGAATTTCTGTTTTCTAGATCGCAAAGGAAGCAAATAACTGAATATTATAAACAAGTAATAAAAATCAAGGAGAATTCAGACACTCTGACCACCTGCAAGCTTGTCAGGAAGCAGCTGAGTGTAAGCCTCAGCGATACCTTGTGTAAACTAGGTAATTGTTCCCATCTGTTCATGAAATGGCAGCCATGCTCTGCTTCAGCTGCATAATATTCTTATTTTAAAAATGGCTTTTTCTTTTCCAGACAGGGTTTCTCTGTGTAGCTTTGGAGCCTGTCTTGGAACTTGCTTTGTAGACCAGGCTGGCCTCCAACTCATAGAGATCCACCTGCCTCTGCTTCCTGAGTGCTGGGATTAAAGGCTTGCACCACCACCACCTGGCCTAAAAATGGCTTCTTTGAAGCAACTCCTGTTCTATATACTTTTTTTTAATTGCTTTAATTTTTTTAAATTACATTTATTTATTAAGAGAGAGAGAGGGCAGAGGAAGAGAGAGAGACAGACAGAGAGACAGAGAGAGACAGAGACAGAGACAGAGGGACACACACAGAGAGAGCATGCATGTAGAGGACACATTGTAGGAGTGAGTTCTCTCCTTCCACCATGTGGCTTTGGAGGATTGAATTCAGGTTGGTACACTTGGCAGTAAGTGCCTTTATTCACCATCTTAGTTACTTTTCTATTGCTGTAAAGAGACCAAGGTAGCTTATAAAAGTAAGATTAGAGGCTTGCTTTCAGTCTCAAACCATCATGGTGGGGAGCATGGCAGCAGACAGGCAACCTTGGCACAGGAATTGCAGCTAAGAGCTTACATCTGATTTCTCAAGTTGGAGGCAGAAAGAGAGACTGGGCCTGGTGTGGGCTTTTGAAACCTCAAAGGTCACCTCAGTGACACATCTGGTGATTCTACCAGACAGTTCTAACAACTGGTAGCAAGCATTCAAATGTGTGAGCCTGTGGGAGCCATTCTCACTTAAACAACCACACCCACCAAGCCATCTTACTGGCTGGGTACCTTCAATTTTTGTTGTAGTCTAGTTACCTTCTATTCATAGATCTTTTAATATTCATTTCCAGCCAGGGATGGTGGTGTGTTTTCAAGAAGGGAACAGGAGGATTGAGAGTTCAAGGACAGTGTGAGCTATACGATGAGAGCGTGTCTCAAAAACAAGCAAGCAAGCACATGAAACCCAGGGGCTAGGGTTGTAGTCCTTGCTTTGCCTTCATGAGAACCCATATTGCATCTCTAACCCAGCAAAGGAAAAGATTATTTTCCATGCCATTTTTTATTCTTAATTTTAAAAGAGCAGTAAAATATAATTACACCAGCTTTGTCACTTGCTGAGGAGAAAAAAAAGCCAAAAATATCTGTATGAGCAGCAAGAGAATGTTTTCAATGGGTGAATTTAGGTGTGTGTGTGTGTGTGTGTGTGTGTGTGTGTGTGTATAAACACACAGTTTCAGTTGTAGATTTGGGGTGTATATATGTATACATGAACAAATAGCTTCAGTGGTGGATTTAGGGGTATATGTGTGTGCTCATGAGCACACAGTTTCACTGGATGGATTTAGGGGTGTATGTGGATGTCTAGTCTCGTTTTTCCTCACAGTCTGTTCTGTGACACTTTGGGTCTCTTGCCTATGGTGGAATTACAACACCCATTTACATCAGAAAGTCAGCACATGTAATAGTTTCAAGTGTAGAGTTTTCACAATGCTGAAATAAGTCTATACTCAAATTTGTAGCCTGTTTTCAGTGTGGTTCAGTTTCTTTTTCTTTTTTCCAGTGATTGAAGAAAGCCTTTTATTAGGGGTGAGGGAACACAGACATACAATAGGCACACAGGGACATACAGCGAATCAGGAAGCTGAAGCTCAGCCTCTGTGTTAGAGTCAGGCATTTTTGTGTCTGGAGGGTCTTCCCCCACAATTTAGGGTTGTTCAGTTTTAAGAAAGACAGGATGGCTAATTGACCTACAACTGTTGTGTAGACATGTTCTGGTCTGGCCTGGAATTTGTGTAGCCAGTTCCTTAGTAGGGCCCTATTGGTAGAACATCAGTCCAATTTGTCTTTTTAAGCTACCAGGCTCTTGTCCTCAGTGAGGAGGAGGAGAAGGAAGAAGCCAGCCATCTTGGAACTTCACCATCTTGGCTTTCTTCCTGTCTCCTGCCATTCAGTGACTTTAACTCCTACTTCCTTCTCCCCCTCTCAGAGGTCACCCTAAGTGCTGCTAGGAGTTTTAGGGCACTAACTGCTTTGAGCTGGCAAAAGGAGTGGTGAGGGAGGGACAGCACAAAACTTAACTGATGGCAAAGACTCAGGAGGTAAGGTAGCCCTCTAATGAGAACACACATCCTTGGAGTGTTTTATGTGGGCGAGGTAGCATCTGTATCACACACAGAGTGAGGTTTTTCCTTGTGCTGTAACTCCTACTGGGCATTAGAAACATTTGGGGCAGTTTTTCCCTTATGAGAGGAAGAGGATAGGCAAGAAACTGTCCAAAGAACTCTAAGCAGCTTTGTCATAGGCATCAGCAAGATCGATGGTTTGGCTTACGAGCTGAGACACTTTTAATTATCTTTACACTTTAATTATCTTTACACAGAAGTTGACCATAGGGTCCCCCTGATTGAACCTTGTGGGGAACATTAAGAGACAGAGCTAATGAGGAAAATCCTTCAACATTCTGATTGTTTGGTAAGGTGAAGCATAACTGTGCAGCTGGCTGGAGTGTGCACCAGAACCTTTGTACAAAAACCCTGTAGAAGGGTGATGTCGGGATTGATCTCCTCTATGCTTTGATCAATGTAAGCTGTGCTTACAGATCACAGTGTACCTGTGAAATCAGATGCTTGTTATATCAGACTTCTGTGCAAGCAACAATCAATAGGAAGCTTGGTAGGAGAGGTCAGTTCAAGTAACTGTCCTAGGTAGTGCCTTAGTGGCAACTGATGCCTCTGCCCAGGTGCCAGCTGTGTGTCTAGTGGAGGGGACAGTGTGGAGAGGCCTCTGCCCAGGTTCTGGTTGTGCTTTGTGGCCAGTGGGGGGGGGACAGTGTGCTGATGCCGCTGTCCAGGTCCCAGCTCTGTGTCCAGGGGGGTGGACAGTGTGCTGATGCTGCTGTCCAGGTCCCAGCTCTGTGTCCAGTGGGGGGACAGTGTGGAAAGGCTGCTGCCCAGGTGCCAGCTGTGTGTCCAGTGGGGGGGGCAGTGTGGAGAGGCCCCTGGCCAGGTCCCAGCTGTGTGTCCAGTGGGAGTCAGTGTGGAGAGGTCCCTGGCCAGGTCCCAGCTGTATGTCTAGTGGAGGGACAGTGTGGAGAGGCCCCTGGCCAGGTCTCAGCTGTGTGTCCAGTGGGGGGGCAGTGGGGGCCAAACTTGAGTGAAACCCAGGTGTTACCACCAGACATCAGCATCTAACTGACAATCTAGATGAGAACTATAATCTCATTGGGTCTTTCTTATAGGATTGTCCAACAATGTCCTAGGGAAGAAGTCCCTGTCCATCTTATATGACTTAACCCTTACCTTTAAAAAATAACCCTTCCTACTTTGTAATCTCTCTCTCTCTTTTTATAAAAGAAAGCATTTAATTTGGTACTCATGGTTCCAGAGGGTGGTTAAGCCCATGAGCATTATGGTGCAGAGAATGGCAGCAGGCAGGCAGGCATGGTACTGGAGCAGTAGCTGAGAGCTTACATGTTGAGACAACAGCCACAGACAGAGAGAAAAATGTTCACTGGGAATGATGAGGGCTTTTGAATGTTCAAAGTCCATCCCTAGTTACACACCTCTTCTAACAAGACCACACCTCCCGATCCTCCCCAAATAGTTCTACCAACTGCAGAACAAGCATTCAAATATATGAGCCTATAGAGGTCATTCTCATTCAAATCACCATACCCTGTCTCAAACAAATAAAAAATAAGTACAATAAGGGCTTCTTTCATCAAGCCATGGACTTAAGAGAATTCAAAGGTAGGCCACAAAGTGACACACATTGACTGCTGTTTGCTGAAGTTCTCTCCCTGAGGGAGATATAAAATAATGTCTACTTCTCTTCCTAGGGCCAAAGTCACCTGGACAACCAATGAGTTCATTAGGCTTACTTAAAAAGCAATGGGTCAGGGGTTATGAGCAAGAATATAGATGGCCTTAAAGAAGCCACACTGGAAAGTCTGCAACTAACATGGATGATGACTGTGTGGACGGGGCTTGTCCTTAGTCCTTCCCTGCCTTTATACTTCTGGTCCCAACCTGAGACAACATGCAGTTAGGGCAGAACTGCATATAGTAGATTAGAGAGAGTAGCTGGGTCCTTGGGTGAAGGTCGTACAGGCTTCCCTCCCCACTTTTACGGGAGAAGGTCAACAATCAATAGGCCAAGCTGTGATGATGTTTTGCAAGTGGGCACAGCTGAACTCACAAAGATGGTGGCACTTTGACTCTGAGGATAGTCTTGTGCATTACCAGCAACTGACAAAGAGCTCCTAAGTGGATAACACAAACTACCCCGGCAGATTAATAAGGAAAAAAAAAAAACAAGTTAACAAGATGGTTAAAGAGTTGAATAAGAACTTCTCAGAAAAGGTATCCACGTATAAAATAATCAGGTGAAATAGGCTCAATTTAGTTGTAATTGGCAAATTGTAAATTAAAAGAGAACCTCCTACACAATTATCTGAACAGCTTAAATTTTAAAAGCTGCAATGTCTAATATGGCCAAGGATGTAAAGAGGTACCTGTGGAAGCATAAATTGGCAGAGTCATTTGAAAGTAGTTTAGTATGATGAGCTGAGCCTAAAGATAAAGCAAATGTATGAATAGCAAATTCATACTTAGGTATGCACTCACTTACATTAGTTACTTTTTTTAAGATTGAAAAAAAACATTTTAAGCAAACCTACAAGTTAAGTAAACAGAGCTCATCACACTATAAGAAACCTAACTTTCTGTTCTTATCCTCAAGAAGGTGAACAATAACTTTTTTCTCTTTTTTTGAGTTTCAATTAGCTTATATATATTTATATTTATATTTATATTTATATTTAAAGAGCAATAATGGCAATATGTTATGCGTCAATAGCAGCAACAGATTTTCCAGGTTCTGCAGTCATTTGAACAAAATTGTAGAGACATCCAGCACACTCCATTTAA